AATGTAATTTTGGGCTAAAAATCTCTTCACTGACACCACTGTGAGGTTATGTGTTTGTCAGAGTCGTCATGCGATCACAACTATCATGTGGAAGTGGAAAAACCTCCCTGAGACAGGTTTTCCATCTTTTAACCCGCTTATTATATTACAAAAAGTCTCTTACAATGTTTTGCAAAGTTTTGTCGCAACACAGCTCGGGAAGCGAGTTAAAAGTTCACACTAGAGTCTGACATTCAATAGGAAGTTCTTTCTCTGTCCCTCGATGACAGACGATGAGATTGACGGCCCCAGGGCATGCAGCACAGCTTCGGGAGAAAGTCTCCGGATAAAAGGTAAACCTCGGCAAAACCAGAGATCGAAAGTTATTCCCAGGTTGACGAAAAACCTCCCAATGATCTCTCCGTAAAGCACCAATTTACAGGATGAATGAACTACGAACCATGAACGATACGTCCTTGATTCGTGTGGTTTTTTAAATTTTTTTCCTAAAGTCGCTGTTTGTTTTTTTTCGTAACCCAATACCAATCGACACCTGTCGAGGAGGCGCAGGAAAGATCAACTTCGCGACTAAACCGGACTCCTCTCTAACACATTTTCCTCGACTTTGGTCTTTTCAACAACATTCTTCCTTTGTTTTATTATTTTACAAAAAAAATTTTATTGTTGAGACCTTTAATTTCTCCCTTTCGTGTTGTAAAAGGAGATTTTTAAGATCTCATTAATACCTCCCTTCGGACCTCCGAGTCGACCCCCGTCCGGGTCCTTACACTAAGGTTCGTTCAAATGAATGAATAACCAGGAAAAGTATGGTTTCTCTGTACCATAAGCTTAATTTCAACAATATAACAGAAGTTTAATAATATTAATATGTATGACAATAAGTGATGATTGACAACTTGACCAGTTTAGTGTTTTCTAATAGATACTGTTCAGCTTTTTACAACCTGCCCTTCTCCCCATTACTATTTTCAGTGTCTTTATTCGACGCCTATGATCAATATTCATCCTCTGAAAGTATTTGAATCGATTCTTTTATGTTTAAATAATTAATTCTTTCAGAATATTTAAGGCGAGACATTGTGTTTTTGTAAGGTTGGTTATGGACAATGGCATCCGTTATTTATTTAGTGTGTCCACTGTTTACAAGTAAATATGATAGATGTCCTATTTGAAGGGTCTGGGGACTGTAAAAATGCCTGTAAAGTACAAGTGTCCATTAATGGAAGTTTCACCATAGTATGATTTCTTGTTTACAGATCTAACATAACTCTGGAATTGTAGAAGTTCGTAGCCAAAAAAGTTTTCCAGAAGAATTTTAGTGAGAAAATATCAAATTTTAAGTCCCTTGTATTTTATTTTATTCAAAATTCGAACAATCCATTTTAAGTATAATCGTATTTTTTTAATGGAGAAATCATTCATTTATAAGTAAGATGTCTATCCGAAAATGTAGCTCATTTTCATTTTTAACTAAAAGTAATTACCAATAAAACATTCGTAATTATGAGCAAAAAGTTCCACGAAACTAGTTCCGGCTATTGGTACTGTTTGCCACAGCGGCAAAATTTAAAACTAATGCTCGCTCAGAATTTAGGTTATGGGTTGGCAGAGGGTGATAAAAGCAATAGTCCGAGTAACTAAAATATGTGTTTACTAGTGGATGAACCTGGCAAAAAGTAACGACAACGAAGATTAACCCTCTTCCTCCCCCCAGCGGGGAAGAATTTCGAAAAATCCCTTCTTAGTATGCATTCTCATGACATACCCTAACTGTGTACCAAAAAAGTTTTTCAGAAGAAATTTTAACTTTCAACTCCTAACCATTTGGTCTCTGCGCTTATTATCATCAACCCATCTCGATTATAAGACTGACCCGAGTATTTACAATAATAAAAATTTGCTCAGGCTAAGTTAACAAGGAGTGGGCTTTAAGAGTGTTTTGAGGATAGAACCCCATAGTATTTTCCTAGTAGTTACAAGAATATTCACGACTGTTTCCAAACTCATCCTAATTAATCCCCCATTTCGAAAGTCCCAGCAACGGCGGAAACCCACAGCCTACCTACAACAAAAGAAATTTCTTATATAACCATTTAACATTCTAAAATTGGCAATTTAAAAGTTTTCTCTAAATGCCTATACCATCGTGAATGTGGAGGATCTTGACCGTATGCATTGGAAAGCCCTTTACCATATTTTGCTTAAGAGATAAAACTTTTAGTCATGTCACTGACGTATAAGATTTATATTAAGTGAAATGATTACCTGTAACATGAATTCATCTGAAATGGCTTCCTTCTACAATAACTTGTTGTTTCGTTATTGATTTTCTAAAATTTCATTTCTTCCTTCTTTCCGTGATTATTCTCTTCTTATGTTGTTATGAATTCGAGAAAAATTTCAGTATATTTCTTGAAAATTGTAAGAAATCTGACAATGGTGTCTTCTTTTGAACAAAGAACAATTGGATTTGTATTATTGATTCATTAACAATTATGGAAAATTCTGTTCCATTGTCACCACTAATGACGTTGAGCGATTGATGTCACATTATTTATAAAATTTAGCATTTGCACCTGCTAGGTGAAATTTGATTTTGAAAAACGTTATTACTTGAATATCAAAAAATTTTTCAAGTTTGGTTTCATTACTTATAAAGTCTTACTAATATGTGAAAACAAATCTTGCATTATATTCCGTAAGGTTTTTTTAAACTCTGTCCTTTGGGCACTAACAGGATCTCTTTCTTAGAAAGCCTGTTATAGGTTCAGCCAGGTCCACAATTGGGTGACTGGGTAGTGAAAGACAGGTTCTGTACGAAGGTAAAAAGTGAAAAGTAAACAGATTACGATTCAGTAGGTAGGATTTCGATAATATGGATGCCGCCCAGCAATTTGGTTGGTACCAAGATATGTGCCCATGGTTTCGGTACAATCATGCAGAGATTACTGCAAATTTAATTTTTTAGGTAAGAAACATAATACAAAATTAATATAGGTTTTATTTGGTGTAAATAGTAAAAATTCTATTTTCACTTGTTATGATTTTATTCGTGTTTTTATGGCTTTCGGAAGGATGGGGCCACATTTATAACTGGTCTGAGCTTCATCTCACCTTTCTCAGCCATTGTACTTGGGACTTGGAGATTGGGATTGATGGAATAAGGCAATGCAACACACGGGCCATCTGCCAAGAGGGATGTCTACGGGGAAGACTTTGAGAAACTGGCTTATAAGTGTTAGGCAAAGAAAGCAGCCCATTGGTGAAGTGTGAACCGTGACTAATTACTAGTGTTCAGTGTACTCAGCTACTGGTAAATTCTCTATACTTATATATACGCTAATGTATACTGGATGATTCGAGACGGTTGTATGAAACTTCACTAATGAAGTCCCCATCACAAACTGCAACAAAAGTTTATAATCCACAGGAGTCATATTACAATGCCTTTTGAGATTAAGCCTGTAAACATCCCATACCAACATGCCTTAAGATAAAAGATACAAGTGTATGCATGGAACATACCTTTATTCTATACAGTGTGCACACTAAACATGTTATAACTGCCTCTGATACTACATATGAAGTGCCTAGCTTTTTTGAGTGGGTTAGAGAATCAGTGCAAAGATGGCTAAAGGCATGTGACAGCACACAGGACACTATTAGTAAGCAAGAAACAGTTATGTTTCATGCATACACTTGTATCTTTTTGTCTCTGTTAAGGCACATTGGTATGGGACTGATGTGATCTTTGTGGGCTAATATCTCAAAAATGCACTGTATTACAACCCTATTGATTATATATTTTTGTCACATTTTATGGTAGAAAATTCATTTGGGAAGTTTTGTACAACCATCTTCAAATAACTCTGTATATAAGATTACCAAACTAGTTTTCTGGGATTGTCTCAGTTGTCAGTTCATGTCTAATCCAGAAATGACTTTGAGACAATGTAACATACCAATTCAACAAATTAAAAAAGAGATATTTTAAATTAACTCAAGTATAATATTGACAAGACTGTCTTGTTTATAAAATCGTACTGCCTGCTGCGTTACCGCTTAGAGGTATGAAGGAGTACATGTCAGGAGTTGCAATTTGGCACAGAGTATTAGGTGCCCAAATCATGCGCGCATAAAAAAACCAGACTCATAGGTACTCAAAGGACCGAGAACCAAGTCAAAATAAAATTCAAAATGGCGACACTCTATACAAATAGGCAGTAGTGCAAGATTTGCGCATGTGTTGCTGGTTGGAAATGTGAACGGTGCAAAATCGAATTTTGACAAATGAATCTTTGAAAAAAAAACCCATTTACCTGTTCCGTATTATTCCGGACATATCTCTGCTGACACATGCTGACCTTGACCGGTTGACCCAATTTGTCTCGTTTCATCGGAACATTTTTGAAAGTATATGGTGCTAGTCGTTATAATTTTATATTAAAAACTAACTTCCGAAATATAATTTGTTTTCTTTCACATTTATTAATATATATTGGATAGGTTAATTTCACCGAAAATGCCAGGTGGTCGTGGCCAGCGAAGTTTGAAAGTTTGCGCTCAAAACCAGCCATACCAAAGATTGGAGAATGGGAACGTGACCCGCCTCAAGCGTCAAAGTGATCCCGCTTATTAGTGAGTCTCCCAGACATAGTTTTGTGCCAAATAGTTTTACTTGTTTATGTTTAATTTCTAAAACAACTTTATCATTTGATATAACACACTGCAATATTTAATCCATGTTATTTTATCAAAGAAACAGTTTTACTACATTGCTTTTAATTGCTGTTTGTTGGTTAAATATGGATCATTTGATGTAAACAACTGTTTAAAAAAATATATTGCATCAATAATATAATACAAATATTTAAAAATAATTTACTTTTTTAGATAAATTTATCTTTAAAAAAGATGAGTTTAAAATAAACCTATTGAAATTTCTCTTCCTATACCATTATTATTAAATAAATAAAGTATTTTAATAAAATCCAAATTTCTTTCAATCATTATTTAATATGTACATGAATATATACAATAAAAATTGTCAATCACTATTCCAACAGTTTCTTGCCACTAAAATAAAATATCGAAAAGTCTTTTATCTTGCATCTTTTTCATCCTTTCTAACAAACTTTTTACTTATAAACATCAATAAAATTAAACCAGGTAAATGAATTAAACTTAACCGAAATAGTTTCCTCGAACGATTACTGTCGGCTTCTTGATAAAACTTCCAAGAACTGTATACGAGATATAAATTTAAAGGTAATGAATCTATGGCAAAAGTCCAGGTGGTGAGATCGAAATATGGTGCCGATAGGGAATACAATACTATTGCGCAACTGTGGCGAAGGGCAGTTCGACGGCATAGATCCGGATTTGTTACGGACATCATGCGATATCCTGCGCGTGAATAATCTTGTCTAAGATTCCACGACAACGCATTAAAGTGAGGAAATTGCCAAGAGTAAAGGATTGCAGCCATTATAAGAGCACCTACGGGAATATAGAAAAGAAATAATTTCTAAATTAAGATGAATGTGTATAATAATATAATGATAAACAAATCTTATAATATTTAGAAAATACAGAAATATAGTTTTGCTCCACTTTTGGAAAAACAAATGCAATGGCAATGTCCGAGGCTTTAGCTAATATTTTTAACTTAAGCTATAGAATATCTATATATTTTAGTTTAATTGGCATTATGGGATTTAATAAATAATCAAATCGTCTTTCAATAATTACTTTCTGATACAAATATTTTTACCATCACAATAATTATCTATAAAATTAAAAAATAAAATAAAATTCGGTTTTACCTGCATCTATACTTCCGGTGCAAGCAGCCCATCCCATCACAGGCGGTATTGCTCCAACAATGGATCCTACCCAAGTATTAAGGATGCTGTATCTTTTCAAAGGTGTATATACTGATGTATAAAGAACTAAATTTATTGCACCGAGTGCTGCTGTCAATTCATTTATTCCGGAATAAAGAACGAATAATCCACATATTGCACTGATTGTAGCAAATGATACAGCATGAAGAGGGCTATAAAAAAATTTACATTATAAAAAATTATATAATACACTAAGTTATACTTATATCTTTTAACAAACCTGATAAGACTTTTGACAAGGACTCTATGTTTTGTTCTAGCCATTTGTGAATCATATGGAATTTCAAGAAACTAAGAAAAAGAAATATTTTAATTTAAAGAACTGAAATAAAATTTTACATAATCTTAAATATTAATGATATACTTGATTTATTGCATTAGCAGCACAAGATGTTAATCCAGTTCCTATAATCATCATCAATGCTGTAGAAACATCTATTGGATTAGGTGCCATGATGTAACCAGCTAAAGTTGTTATAACCACTAAACCTAATAAGCATTAAAAGTTACCATATTTTAAAAACTGAATGAAAACAATAATTTCCATAAACAAAATAAATAATTACATATTTGGAATTTCCATTCTTTTAAAATATAAGAAAATTAATCTAAAACATGTTTTCCTTCTATTATTAAAATTATATTTCAAATCAAGATGTATATAGATTTGAATACAAGCATGAGAAGTAATGGAAACTAAAATCATTCAAATAATAATAGTATCTATTATAAATAAAAAATTTCAGCTTTTTTTGCACGGAGACACACTAGTTTTAATCTATCTATATTTATAACAAACTCTACAGTTTTCTATAGTATAGTATATTTATAGTATCTATAGTACAGTTATTATTTTATAGTATATATCAGTGGCATGCCGTCCTTGGAAGTGGTGGAAGTGCCACTTCTCTTGTATTTTCTAAAATATAAATACATATTGCGCGATTATTTTCACATTTTAACATACTTTGAATTAATTAAAATTAATATTTTATTATAACCACATTATGTATCTTATTACAAATTTCTATACTACATGTGAAAAAACAATAAGATTGCTATTGTATATTCGAATATCAGTGGCAGAATGAAAGCGCTGTATTTCAAAACCAGGTCAGCTTCCAAACGGCCAGATTATAGGCATTCGCGCACGTGCTTTACAGAGCACCAACCTCAGGCAGTTTAGCAGGTGGAAGCTACACACCAAAATATTGTATAACGCTTCCAAAGATTCAATCCAGAACCGGTTCTGGCTATTAGCCATCTGCCTGCTAGATATTTGGCCACCCTCGCCCAATTATATGAATCATAAGTAGATTTATAACTTAACCCAACTGATAGTAATATACTGGTGTGTTTTTATGATAGTTCTGTATAGTTGACAGGAGTTCAAAAAAATCTATTAGAATATTTGATATATTTACTCTGCTTTCATTCTGCTCTCCCATCTTATATTACTTACGGATTTCAATGTTAAACCAGTGATATTATGATTTAGTATGTCCCATCTATAAGGGAATGTATAAAAAAAATTGTACAATGTTAAAAAATTAACTGTTACATTGGCAGCATCATTTACAACAAAATTAATAAATGAGACCCACAAGGTACAAAAACGCTCTAGAATTTACTTTCCTTAAATTTACGATTTATGTATCCGTTGTCATAAAAATTTGGGGCCCACCAGTGGCCAAGCGGTCTTCGTACCCTGAATACTGGGAGTTTGGTCGTAGATTTGCACCTCACTCGGACGGGATGGCCACATGGAGTTTTCTGGGTTTTCTCCACATCTGTAATGTCTAAATAGGGACCAGTTTCCCTTAAAAAGACCTCCCAGAAGGCATCCCCCTAGGCAGATCACCCAAGTGTTGCATTGCCATAACTTAACAAACAAACATAAAAATTTATCTTTCCACTTTTTTTCCAAAGACTACAAATATTCAAGTACAAAGTAACTAGTTTCAACTTATTTCTACTTAAGAAATAGTTAAATAATTAAGAGATTAGGGAATTAGGGGTATAAATAAAACCCTGATGAAAGAGCCGGAATTTTACTTAACCGAAATGCTTAACTGAACCAATCCTTAGCCGAGTACAGTGGAGACCGATTTCTTCGTAATATTAGATGTAATAAAGTACGAAATTTTTCCAGTTCAATAAGAATGACTGAAAAGTAGTAAATTTTGGAAGTTTTTGTCGACACCCAATCCTAAAACGAATTATAAAACAAATGAATATTAAGTTTAACATATTTAGATTTTTACAGCTATGGTGAGAAACGTTTAAAATCCACAACAACCCTGTCGTGTCCATTGAGATATACTAGTGATGCGACAAAAGAGGCATCCATGATGATCCATTGATGATTGAAAACGTTAGTTTTAAGAATAAATCTCTCAGTGAGTGATCAGGTGTTGATTAAGTTACAAAAGAGACATTTGACATTAACCGGTATAGGCACCCTCGAGATTTGGCACGCATGCACGCACTGCACACCTACCAAGATCGCCTCTGATTCCATCCACGAGCCACTGGTAGGAAGCAATTTTAACTAAGTGGATTGTTTTAATATTTAAAAAGTAAAGAATATTTTATTTTATTTTTATGTACAGTACGTTTCTTCACAAAACTATATTTAATTATAATTTTCTTTAAAAATATATTCATACAATTAAATATTTTGTACCAGGTATGTATAATTGTATATCCATCACACATTTTATTTTACCAAGTATTAATAATTTTATTTTTAATTTTAGCCCTTATATAATGGCTAGCGATTTAGAATGTAATTGCGATATTGAAAATTTATTTCTAAAAAGTTTTGGCTCGAGACCATGTAATGAAAAAGAAAACATTATTAAAAGAGAAAGACCAATGCCTAAATTAAATATAAATACGTCAACAAAAATATTTGTTAGACATTTTCACGATAAAATTTATGAAGACATAAAATGGCTTTGTGGATGCATAAAATGCAAAAATTGTTTTGTTGGCCTTGCCTACTATTTTCAAATAAAATTAGTGTGTGGAATAAGAATGGCTTTGACAATTTAAATAATTTGAGTAAAGCTGGCAAAAGACATGAAAACTGTAAATGTCACATCGATTCTTTCGTAAAATTGAATTTGGAAATGAACGCAGAATAGTGTGAAGGCCGGACTGACCAGAAATGAGAAGGACTCTCCATTTTTCCTGTGTTCGCCGTGATTATTTTTCCCTTGATTTCGGTTTCTGTTGGGAATTAGACCAGAGGGTTACTTAAGGCCAGAGAATGACTATATTTCCTTCCCCCAGAGTCATTTCCTTTCCCCATGGAACTTGGGAATGCGTCACCAGAAACTAGACACTAAAATTTTATGATTGGAGTAAACCAGTAACGTGATCAGGGGCATAAAAGGGAGAGATCCATAGAAAGGTTGGTTGGTTTGTTGTGAGAAAAGGACCCCAGACAAGATGAGAGCCGACGACTGGAGCCGAACCCGTACCGCCACTGATACGACCTTCCTACGCAAGAACAGGCCCTGCTACCCGACCCTCGGAGATCCGAATTTTTCCTCTATGTGTGAGGACCCATCACACCATCCACCAAGTCAACAAGGTATGAGAACCAAATTTATGTGAACTCTCTCTCAGACCTCCCCCGAGTAGTAGTACTTAATCACTAATTCCAAAGTTAGTCTTGTCATTGTTCATTTTGTTAGTTAATTTGTTTCCTTGTTAAAATGGTGTCATTTATTCAGATATTTCCACAGTCTTATCGACGACCTCATTCTCCTCTTCCACTCGACCTGACAAAACGAATCCCAACTTTTCAGGATAGGAAAAAATTGGACAAGCCATCCACTGACAAGTGGGCAGTTCCCACAAACTGTTGCCAACAAAAAGAGGTACAACTCCGTCCTACCTCAGAGGCTACAACACAATAGAATTTAACATTAGTAAACAATATAAAATAAATATAACAAGATAATTATGGCTAATAGATATATTATATCTAAATTAATAGATGTTATATGTTTTTACTCAAAGCAAGAATTAGCATTTAGAGCAGAGGTCGCCAAAGTACTGGTCCGCAAGAAAATTTCGCTGGTCCCCAGAAAAATGTGCAATATACTTACTCATCATGCTAAATTATGTTTTAAGATGGATTGAAACATAATTCAATTCATAACAATACGTGAAAAGTTATAAAAACTCATATAATATAATCATTGTCTTTATATCGATATATCATGTATACAACAGTGTTTCATTTCCACCAATTCACGTGTGAAAAAGTATTTACTTTCAACACTTGGGGCATCACCGTCGCCGAAAAAGCTTCTCTAGTCAGACCTCCACCGCAATCCAGACGCAAACGCAAATCGGTCACGTGATTAAAAGCTTTTACGGCAAGGGGTTTTATGCCCATTTTTACGGTTGCTAAAAGTTTGATATACTTAAACCATTTTTTAATTGTTTTCTTTTTACAGTTTTTGTTTACTTTAATTGTTTATTTTATTATGGTTTATTAATAAAGCTTTCATAATTTGGTTACAATTAATAGTTTCATTTTATTAACTAGGTACATTTTATGTGTTTTTAGATCACAATTTTTTTTATAAATACATTTAACACTTAAAAAATCCTATTAGTGGTCCGCGGGATGAATTTACTGGTCCGTGAGGTCAAAAAGTTTGGCGACCACTGATTTAGAGGACATAGAAAATATAAACCACAACTATACCCAGAAGAAAATAATTAAATATGCAATCAACACCTTATCCTTCGCTGAGAGATTATTTTTATTAAAACAAACATAGGGAATCTATTAAATCTAATAACAGAGGTAATTATATTGAACTTGTTTATCTATTAAGTACGTCAGATAATCTATTAAAAATACATTTAATTAAAGAAGTGTACAGTTTTTACTGGCTTATCGAACAAACAAATATGAATGGACCCCGACATGCAAGTAACTGAATGCCCCTGTAAGTCGGCTTCTTACAGAAACACAGCTCCCCTATCATCAAATGTCATGGCATGCCACTGATATCTATAGACATTAAGATATAACAGAATATAAATCTGATATCCATAACATTTATAATTTCACATAGAATAGAATTTAATCTCCTAAGTTTGACTCAAAATCCAAAATTAAGAGATTTGCATTCTGTTCTGTTAATTTCAATACACGAGTTTCTGAGATGGAGAGTTTGGAAAACATTTGTAATTAAATATATGTAATAGGTCCACAAAATAATAAATCTTTTACTTAAAAACTNAAAAATTTGGGGACCTAAAAAACATTCCAAAAATTGAAAAAAAAATTTTTTGTCAAAAGTGGCAGAGTTGCTCTGTTTAATATTTATTAGTTCTTGTCCTCTTAATATGTGGTTTATAGAAATACATAAAAAGTTTAAATTTTTTGATGATTAAAATATAATTTTTGCTTATCTTATGAAAATCAATGCTTAAATATTTGATAGGATTGAGATAGTTTTAAAATATTATCTTAGTTGTGTATACAAAATTTTACATAGTATGAAATTGAGAACCTCAAAAACTTTCCATTTATTAGCATGCCTTTTAAACAGTTTTAAACAAGTTTCATTTTAGAAAATTTCCATAAAATGAGGCTGCCAAAGACTTGTATACTTGGTATGGTTGATGATTTTGTTAGGGAAATGGTTTTTCAAGAACTTTAGTATGATTTTGAAGTTTTTGCTTTAGTTTTTTTTATTTATTTGCTTCTATTTTACATAATCCTGACAAAAAAATTGGACAGCATTTCATCTCAATTAATCTCTAGCTTATTCTTCAATAATATTAAACAGAAATGTTTTGTACACTTATAATTAATTTATATTAGTAAACTTTTATTCTAACTGAAGATTTCACATAAAAAAGTTATGAGCAGTTGAAAAAAGCATGTGTGATGAAAAAAAAAGCTTGGACAAAGCCATTTCTGACAAAAAATACCTAAACAGTACATTAAATGATCTATTCCTAAATGTGTAAATGAGCTGAAATGTGATACTTGCATATTTTTCTTATGAACATTACTGAGGTGTATTTGTTTAATGAAAACAGCACCTTGTATGGTTGTAAGTGTTGATGTACTGTACATGAAGTAATTATCATCCTCCATAGAGAGGACAAATCCTTAAAAAAAATTGCAAAAGAATTAAAACTTGGTAATTCCACAGTATGGGGTTTGTTTCAAAATATTGGAAAACTGGTAATAATCGTCCAGAAAAATCCACTGGAAGGCCAGCATCCATAATGAAAACTGTTCACAAACACCTTCATAAAATAATTTTAAAAAGTTTACGGGCATCACTCAGAGAATTAGTGAACGAATGAAATAAAGTTACTGGAAAGGAAGTTACAAAAGAAACTTGTCGTATCCATCTGCACAAACTTGGTTACAGCTTGTATCCAGTAAGAAAATATTATTTTTAGTTAACAGTTATGACATGTAATTTCTTTTCTTAGACAAAGGCAAAACCATGTTTCACAAAAACACAAATAAAAAATCAATTGAAGTGGACCAAAGAGCACCAATGCTGGACACAACAGCAGTGGAAGCAGATTGTTTTTAGTGATGAGACAAAGTTTGAAGTCTGCATCGGAGGCAATAGAAAAAAGTCATTAGAAAGAAAGAGGAGGCATTCTATCGTGCACCGTAAAATTCCCAACAAGTATTACGGTGTGGGGTTGCATGTCAGCCCAAGCTGTGGGAGATTTACATTTCATTGAGGAATCAGTAAATGCAACAAAATATCAACAAATCCTTATTACTATCATAAGAAGAATTACAATAAACATTTTATTTTCCAGCAGGATAGTGCAAAATTCCATATAAAACCATCAAGGCTTAGCTGGCCCAACATAATATTAACACATTAAAATGGCCATCGAGCAGGCTCAACCTTTCCCTTCAGGAAAATATGTAGGGTAAAATTTAAAAAATATTGAGAAAATGTCCTCAAGGAAGTGAGGATGGTTTAAAACAAAAAGTCAAACAAATTTGAATGAAATTACTCCAAATGAATGCCTGACTCGTGTTCATAAAACGAATGATCATATAAATGCTGTTATACAAGCCAAAGGTTAAATATTATTGTACTGCCTGAGGTATTATTTGTCAGAGATGACTCCATCCAAGCCTTTTTTTGTCGCACATGCTTTTTTCAACTGCTCATAACTTTTTTATGTATTAATATTACCAACATGAAAAATGTTGAAAGTCCTCAGTTATTATAAAAAATTACTAATATAAAATAATTATAAGTATACAAAATTTTTCTGTTTGATATTATTGAAGGATAAGTTAGAGATTGATTAAAATAACATGCTGTATGAACTTTTTTGGTATATGGAGATACAACACAAGATATGCTAAAAACTTATTTCTTTCCAATATATTCATTTATAAAAATATTTATACTAAAAATTATAGGATCTACAATTATTAATAATAAATTTTACCTGTTAAACGTATCTTTGATAATTTCATATAATAGTGAGGAAGCCATTTCAAAGTCAATACTTGTTCTTGCCATTCTAGAACATTTGGATTTAAGGCATTAACAAGAGTAAATTTCCGTTTCAAATCATTCTCCTTTAATAAATTATCATATTCTAAAGAATAGGTGTCTTCAGTTGATAAAACACAACCATTATTTTGAAGGAAACTATTCTTTGATACTTTTTCTAAATCTATAATTTTCTTATGTTTTGAAATAAATATAAGAGGTTTTGAGTCAACACTATTAATTATATAGCTAAGTTCTTTATAAATATCTGTTCCTAAAGAAAATGTAATATTAGATTTCTTGTTTATTGCTCTAGAATTATCAGACATTTGCTTGCTTATTATAGGATTTCGCTTCTCGGTGGCAGTGTCTATAACAGAATCATTTTCTTTATGAACAAAGCTTTCAGAATGTTCATTTCCCAAAACTTCAGGAGGTGACACTGTAACAGATGAAACTAATTTGTTTTTTGTACTTGTAGCCAAATTTGGTATTTTAACAGCGTACTATAAGAAGAAAAATAATAATAATTTTTTATTAAATTAAATTTAAAAGAAATAAAATGTAAATTAATTCTATATATTTCAGATTTATATGTTCTCATTTAATTTTTTAGTTATAAGTTGTTAACATAAAAATGAAATAGATACGTATCTAAATACAGGTATACCTCGCCTTACGTCGGTAATTGGTTCCAGGAGAACGACTTAAGTCGAAAAACGACATAAGTCGAATTTACTTGTCTCCAAATCTACTTGTCACTAGGCTAAACCATAAATTGCCAATTCCGGTTCTGTATTTTATTTATTAATGCATTTTTAATAATGTATGGTTAATAAGCATCTATTTTAAGCTTACAAACAAATAAATTTTAGTTTTTAATACAGTACAGAAAAAAGTAATCTAAATTTACGAATGCATGTACTGTAAATACAGTACATACTTGTAAATGTATATATTTTAATATGATTTTATGTGCTTTAAACATTTTTCTAGTGATATTACGACTTCAATATTTGTGGCGGACAGACGTAAAGTCGAATAAAATGACTTAAACTTGATTTTTATTTTTCCATTTGCTTTTTTGACAAACGATGTATAATCGGGAACGACGTAACTCGAAACGACGTAAGTCGAGGTATACCTGTAATTATAATCTAACAAATTCATATTTTCAATTGGAAAACATCATTTTCCCATCATAGAGACATCATAATCATGTTTCATTCTTTGCATTCTGTGACACACACACACACTGTAATAGTTATATATATATATACTAGCTGCAAGGACCCGCTTCGCTGGGTTTTTATTTGTGGGCAAAAAGTAATGATAGTAAAGATTAAGATAATTACATTATAGCCAATCTTACCCGTTTTCACAAAATGCAAGAATTAGGTCTCCTGTTTCCAGACGTTTCCAGAGAATTTTTACATGAGCATAAAAATATGTTCGATTTCCCGCAAAAGCGCAAAAAACCGCCTGTAAATCTTGCATGCCGCTTTATATTAACACTTCCTGGTCCTGATTCTATTTCTGAACGTCTCCTGTTCACATCAAGTCAAACGAACTATTTTTAACGTTTCTGAAACGTTTACGATCATTCTATAATAGAACCAATATTCAAATTTTATGTTTGAATTTGTTCAAACAAATTCGAACAAAACATTCGAAATAGAAAGCCACTTTCAACCACTTTCAAGCCCATATCTCCCGTACCCTTATAGCTATCAAGACGCAACCACCCCTATGCACGAATGGAGACTTGGGGCTACTACCACATACAAACACCATTCACGTGCGATGTGTAGTTTTGGCAAAAAAGTGAAATATAGGGACATACATGTCCATTTTTATATATATATAGATATGAAACATGATTATGATGTCTCTATGATGGAAAATGATGTTTCCAATTAAAAAGATGAATTTGTTAAATTATAATATAATAAATTAAATGACTATCATTTTACAACTTATCTCTTTCAACAGTTATTTCCTAACATATTATTCTTAACACGTTAAATATCAGTCTTTAACATATAGTAAGATATATTCATATATAAGCATAAGAAAATTATCTGAAAAACATGAAAGTTGCATTCTTATAAATGTAATCTAATTAATGAAAATTTCATAACATGCTTTTAACAAGTAATTGTTCAGCTATGTGACTGCAGTAAATACTGAATGTAAAAATGCAATTTTTATGTACTGTACTACAAACATTAATGATACAGAAATAAAAGAATGTATAAGAGGTATTTCTACAATAAGTAATTCTTGGCAAATAAATCACATACACTAAGTTCAAATACCTTAAGACATAAAAATTATCTTATTAAAATCATATGAATAAAAATATTAAAACTTTTACTTACATTTTGTATCTTAATATATGACAAAAATTTCAAATATGTAAAGCTTCCCTTTCTTTTCAAAATGGTGAAGCTTCTCAAAGGCACAGTAATGTAAAGCATGATATATAAATTCTTGAAATCTGTTGTTAAAATTTTCTTCCATATTTTAAATATACCTGTTGAAAAATATATATTTTAAATTTCTTCTTAAATAGTCTATAATTACTATATATAATTTAAAATTGAATTTTTATGTTTCATTTACCGTATTTACTCTCATATGAGATGAAGATTTTGTCCATTTTTCACTGCTTCAAAAACCTAAGTTGTCCTATACGCGTGAGTGAAGGATTCTTTCCTTTTTGTATAATTTTTGTAAACTATGTATTCGTATATTTTACCAGATTCTCACCTTCTGGAGTTTAAAAACAAAGTATTTTATCTGGGTTGTTTGAATCGTTCTTGTGTATTGTCAGGAGTAAAAATAAATGAATAGCAATAGGAAAAGCAAAGCTTTTGAATTGAATTCCTAAATTACATGAGAACCCAATATAAGTTTTAATTCATTCCCACGTGAAAACATGATTATTTGGAAATTTGAAGAAACTTGTAAGTGTAAACGACAAAGAGTGAATTCGACTGTTAAGAATTGGCAAAAAACAGGTTCCCGATTGTCCAGCTTTACATGAACAAATTATGTTGTCAATTTTACAAGATTTTTCCTTATTCCTTCAAGTTTAAAATGCCAGTAATTTTTGCAGGACAAAGTGTGCATTTACATGCATTTGATATTTTATTTCTTAAACAAAATAAAATTAGAATTGTATTAATAAATGTAAGTTTCCTTATTTTGATCTTTAAAGTCACACCTTGTCCTATATGTGAGTAAATACAGTAAATTAAAATTTATTATATATAATGTATATAATATAATGTTATATATATACATAAAATTAAAAATAAGTATTATTTAAATATAGCAAACTACCTAAAAATATGTAAAAATTTATATAATATTTACAGAACTATTTACACTGGTGTTCAATATTAAGAGAATTTGCACATTTTGTTAAATTTCTGAAAACTAATGGGTGCATTTTAATGAAATTTGGTGTGGATACATAAGAGAAAAAGCATGTAACTCTACACAGACTACACAACAGTCACAGTATGCACTCATGATCATCAGGAAAGCTCATCAGCACAGGAATGTCCAAAACCTACATTGCAAAATCAAACATAAAATGACTAATATGGGATATGATTACCTCTCACATCTCTATGTCATACTGGAAATGAGGCAGCTTATGAGTTCCTATGGCAGCTGTTTCCTTTCCCACAGCAATGCACTTTTCAACTCCTCGGTAGTTCTTGGAGGAAGATTGCGAGCTGCAATTCTCCTCCAAAGAGCATCTCAGACATGTTCAATAAAATTAAGGTCTGGAAATCTGGTTGGCCAATCTATCTGGCAAATATCCTCACTTTCAAGTTAACTGTCGACCAGACGACCCTTATGTGAACAAGCGTCGTAATCCATAAAAATTAACCGAGGATCAACTGCACCACTGTAAAGTTGAAAATAGGGTTGTAAGATCTCATCTGTATATCTCTCAGCAGTCAGGGAGCACGTGTCCAACACCATTCCCGCTCGGGTCACGACATCTCCACTGCAATAGCCGTCCCTTTCTCGACGTCGGAAGAAAAGAATCGAGTCCCAGTTTCTCTCCAAACGAAGGTGCATCGAGAACCCGCATCCGGGCAGAATCACAACTCGTCTGCGAAGAGAACCGTACCCTCCGAAGTCTGGTCCAAGGCTATCGTCGTCTGCACCGTGCTAAATGCACTCTCTCGTGTGCCGAAGCAAACGGGACAAAAACAGCGGGTCTTCCGGCACAAAGCCTTCTCTGGCGAAGCTTCCGGGAAATGGTAACCCTCGAAAGTCGCGTTCAGGCGGAAAGGCGCAGCCGGCAAGACAGCTACAAAGCCGCGGCACCCGGCCAAAAGTGCCAAATAACGATCTTCGTCGGACGACCCCGTCTAGGCATTCTCGACACGGTCCTCAAACAGTTTCCAGAAATTGCAGACGACACCGGACATCACATTAAGCTCCGTAGCAACCCGCACCCACCTCCGATCCGTCCACAAATCTCTTCCGTCGCCGAGACGTTTGCAGCCAGCCATTATACCCGACCGCCGGCCACACCGAACCGACTCTCGCAAGAAAAACAACGAACGTCACCGAGAAGTACGAGCAAACTAATCGCAGACAAAGCCACCACGCCGGCGCTTTTTGCGACCTCCGCCGTCGAGGTTCCGCCCACATCCGCAGGCAAGCCGGCGTATTTAATACTAAAAAGTTGCACCGTTATTCGGCGACACAGTTCGTAGTTTCAATTCGTCACTTTTCGTCAAAATCGAACTTATTTAAATTTAACTTATTTAATATATTTAAGAGTATACGTATTTCTAATTTTGTACTTCAGATTTTGTATTTCTAACGCATTTTCGGAAAATTTCTTACGACGGTACCAAAGGAAACACACGGAACGGCACACGCTTAAATAAACAGTCGGCGACGTAACAAAACGGCAGTCCTGCGTAAAGCAAAAGCGCCGATTAACGTACAAGAAACTTCCCAAATAATATTTACTAATTCTATAAAATATCAGACATATAGCGTTAAATGTAAACGAATTAACACGATAATTATATTTTTGATTAATGACTTTTAATAAGATAGTTTTAATAAAAACAATTATCATTTTTTCACGAAATAAATGTCGAATTACTTTAAAAATTGGGAAAAAACCGTTACATTTATTTTATTTTTATCAACCAGGGCCAAGTTTATAATTTTCAAGCGGGTCTAAAAATAATGCCGTAAAACACGGTAGGCCCATATACGGGTGGGCAAAAAGTTACATAATTATATTTTACAAGAAAGTCGGCAGTTTGCGAGTATACCAAAGCATTGAAAGAGGCGTATTAAACAGAATTTTAGCAATTTTTATAAGTACTAATGTATTTGAATAAAGCAAGAACGGTTAACAGACTTTTGAGCCAGCAGGCGTACGTACCCGTGCATAGGTATGTAAACACACGTAGGCAATATACATTTGCTGGCATTTAATGTCTTAGCATAATATAATGTGGTATCGGGTACCGGTACATAAAATTACATTATATATCGTAATATAAGTAACCGCGTCTATTTTCTTCCCGCCAGTCTTTCTTAGCAAATAGTTTATCATATTAAAAATCAGAAGTAATAGTAATTTAAAGTAAAATATTTTCGGTAGAATTGAAATTACTTTTACCACGAGTTCCATACCGCCACCGGCTTTTCTCCTTCCTAAGTGCCCGATGACGTCCTAACTGGAAAAATATTTCGCCCAAATACGTCTAAATAATAATAGTAAAGAATTAAGAGCAATCGGAAATTTTTATTGTTTGATTATTATTTTATAATTTATACTTAACGTCACCGTGCAACCTACATTGTAGATGGTCATCCCCAGTGGTGATATTCGAAATATATAACAAAGGGTTCGCTAACAGAAAATTTTTCCTTAACAATTTTTTTTCGCTCAAATGGTGCATTAGCAACATTTGCGCAAAAACTGACCTTAAGATACCCATATAAATAAAAGATATGCGTTCGCAAAATTAAGTCAGTTAAAGTTTAACATTGTTTATGCCAGAACTATATATATATATATTGATAAATAATAAAAAAAGTGTTCAAAATGGTTTATTTTGTACATATTTTAATATTTTTCATTCGAAGTATTTTATAAACATAAAAATTGGCTTATTTTTAATCAGAAAAAGTCAGGTTTAACTGCTTTCCCTATGACTTTTCCTCAAAAAAACTTTTCTAAATCATTTATTTTATCATTAGGTATTATTATAATAACAGATAGATGTCATCGTCTATCGAAATACAATATCTTTTTTATTTCGCTGACAATAGCACAACACGTGTTCCGCAGCCATCTTGTATTTTCTCGCGGGCGTGGGATTGTGGGATCTCTCGTACGACTGGACTAGTTTCAAGAACTCTCTTGAGTCGATCGAGATTGAAACGGTCGATGGAGGTTGCACCAAGGCGAACGGGGTATAAGGCTCTAGTTTAGTAGTGTTACAGAGTATATAATACGTATATTTTAATATATTTTTTAAAAGAAACAAAACCACTGAAAAATATTACGTGTGTTTAACAACGGGTTCGGAAAACTTTGAAAATGTTAACAACGCCGAACCTGTGCGAACCCGCTGAATATCACCACTGGTCATCCCGTTTTCTCGGTTAAGGTGTGTAGGTCTATGGTGTATAATTATTAAGATATTTGAGGCGGAGTGGATTGTGTTGGTTCTCAAAATCTGATCGAATATTGTATTTCGCCCTTTTCCATTAATTGCCAGGCGGAATCCAAACATGTATTAAAGAAATGAAGTTGCGCGACTCGCTCCTAACTAAAAACGAATAAAACCAGCGAATAGTAATGATATATACTGCGTTTTATCAAAGTTTATGGTATCCGAAGATCTCGCTAAACACCACCCCTGGTTACCCCTACCTGCTATGGCCGCTGCAGCCAGCGACGAGCCGGAACGGGGACCTCGGTGATGCCCGCAGTTTCAAAAATAAGCCAAAATAGGCTTTAGTCGCTGACCAAATGGCCGCGATCAAAAAATGTGCTCTGACGTGTCCCCGCAACAGATAGGTGGGAACCAGATCTACACATTTCATCAAAACATTTAAAATTTATTGTTACGACCTATCTATCTGTCAGATTCACCAACTAAGGAAGAGACCAAATGGTACGAGGCACGGCAAACCTTCTAAAATAGGTGCTACGACAGCGGAGCGAACGAAGAAGGTTGTGAAGCTCGTTACAGTTTCAAGAGATTTAAAGTGACATACATAATATATATATATATATATATATATATATATAGATACATTTTAAAGCAATGTATAAGCTTACTCATTTCGACTGGTCAGAAACTCACTGGTCAAACTGGTCAGAAATTGCTTTAAATAAAATCGTTATATCAATTATCTTTCCTTGATGACTAGCCACTGCTGCCGGAGGCAAGTTTACTGGACGTGGATACGGATTTTTGTAGTGCAGAGCTATTAATTAATAAAATTAGAAAAGTGAATACATAAAATATTACTTATTATTTTAAAGAAAATTGTATATTGAAATGAATTTGATAGTTTAAGAATTTCTGTTATTTATTTAAGAAAACAATGATTCAAAAATATTCGTGACCTAGTCTACTTATTTTCTCATCACAAATTAAATCGAGTTCTGTAGAGGTGTTCTCTGTATGTAATGGCAAATACAAGGGAATATCATAGACACAGAAAATTAAACATTTATGACGACAAATATAGTTTATTGGACCATTTGCAATAAGATTGCACGCACGTGTTAATAAAAGGTAGTTAAAAATTTTAAATATTTCAATACATAACGAGTTAGTTCTCCTCTTGGATAGTTCTGGATTTGAAACTGTGACTGTACGACACATTGGAGATATTCATAGTATTCAAATTTATTTTTTATCGACGTAATATCCAGACCTCGAATCTCGAAATACTTTCTATTATACACGTTTTTGTGGACGGTATTCACCCATCTCTAGTCATACAAGCTTATATTCAAATACCAAGCGCAAGATCTTGGGAACAAGACCTTTTTATAAAAGAATAGTTTCCAATTCTCGCATTCAAATACGCCCATTTTATTGGAATTACTTTGGATTAAGCCTAGTAAAAAAACTTCTTTACATAGTTTTTAGAAGTGATTTTACTGTAAAAAAATCTTAATACAATGACATTCCATTAACAGTTTCCACGATAATTATTGATTCCAAGCGTGCTAACTATTTCTGCTTTTCATATCAAACCCTTGCACTAACGTATTCGGAAAAGTCTTTAGAAAAATCACGCGTAAGCTAACCTAGCACATCGTCTCGGCATTTTCGTCCATAATAGGAGAACTCGCACCCCTTTNTATATATATATATATATATAGATACATTTTAAAGCAATGTATAAGCTTACTCATTTCGACTGGTCAGAAACTCACTGGTCAAACTGGTCAGAAATTGCTTTAAATAAAATCGTTATATCAATTATCTTTCCTTGATGACTAGCCACTGCTGCCGGAGGCAAGTTTACTGGACGTGGATACGGATTTTTGTAGTGCAGAGCTATTAATTAATAAAATTAGAAAAGTGAATACATAAAATATTACTTATTATTTTAAAGAAAATTGTATATTGAAATGAATTTGATAGTTTAAGAATTTCTGTTATTTATTTAAGAAAACAATGATTCAAAAATATTCGTGACCTAGTCTACTTATTTTCTCATCACAAATTAAATCGAGTTCTGTAGAGGTGTTCTCTGTATGTAATGGCAAATACAAGGGAATATCATAGACACAGAAAATTAAACATTTATGACGACAAATATAGTTTATTGGACCATTTGCAATAAGATTGCACGCACGTGTTAATAAAAGGTAGTTAAAAATTTTAAATATTTCAATACATAACGAGTTAGTTCTCCTCTTGGATAGTTCTGGATTTGAAACTGTGACTGTACGACACATTGGAGATATTCATAGTATTCAAATTTATTTTTTATCGACGTAATATCCAGACCTCGAATCTCGAAATACTTTCTATTATACACGTTTTTGTGGACGGTATTCACCCATCTCTAGTCATACAAGCTTATATTCAAATACCAAGCGCAAGATCTTGGGAACAAGACCTTTTTATAAAAGAATAGTTTCCAATTCTCGCATTCAAATACGCCCATTTTATTGGAATTACTTTGGATTAAGCCTAGTAAAAAAACTTCTTTACATAGTTTTTAGAAGTGATTTTACTGTAAAAAAATCTTAATACAATGACATTCCATTAACAGTTTCCACGATAATTATTGATTCCAAGCGTGCTAACTATTTCTGCTTTTCATATCAAACCCTTGCACTAACGTATTCGGAAAAGTCTTTAGAAAAATCACGCGTAAGCTAACCTAGCACATCGTCTCGGCATTTTCGTCCATAATAGGAGAACTCGCACCCCTTTCCAAGAACTAGTTTTCTTAGGATGTAATTTAAGGAAATAAACAGGTAAGCTGCAAGTGTTCTTAATAAACTGTATTGAAATTAGTGGATAGAACATTAAGGAAGCGCAGGTGTCATACTGAAAAATAATATTCATCTTTGCATTGTAGATCACAAAGTCCACAATTCGAGAATTACCGTTATAGACAAAAAACTAAAATCTATATATATAAAATTGCTTGTCCTGACTGACTCATTCATCATCGCCCAGAGCAAACCGCTTAACCTAAAGAGGTGAAATTTGGTACACAGTTAGGGTACGTCATGGAAACGCACACTAAGAAGGGATCCAACGCGGGGGGAGAGGGAGAGCATTAAGTCTTAACCGGAAGAACGGCTTCTACTGTACTATTTTAGATGCGATTTTTTTGTTTTTATCTGTGTTGTAGTAGGGTATGCCATGAGAATGCATACTAAGAAGGGATTTTTTGAAATTTCCCCGCGGGGGGTGAGGGAGAGCATTAAGGCTTAACCGGAAGAACGGCTTCTACTGCGCTATTTTAGATGCGATTTTTTGTTTTTATCTGCGTTGTAGTAGGGTATGCCATGAGAATGTACACTAAGAAGGGATTTTTAGAAATTTCCCCGCGGGGGGTGAGGGAGAGAATATAGTTTTCATCGAGTACTTAGGTGTATTAAATTAATAACATTTCAGACATTGTTATAAATATTTTTATCCATTTCGATTTTAAAAATGTTCGAACCGTTTTAAATTCGAATTTGTTATTTCGTATTCGTATTGTATGCGTTTTAGTAGGGTATGCCATGAGAATGGACACTAAGAAGGGATTTTTCTAAATTCTCCCGCGGGGGGAGAGGGAGAGGATTAAGCTTAACCGGAAGAATGGCTTCTACTGTACTATTTTAGATGCGATTTTTTGTTTTCAACTACGTTTAGTCTTCATCGAGTACTTAGGTGTATTAAATTGATCACATTTCAGACATTGTTTAAATATTTTTATATATTTCAATTTTAAAAATGTTCGAACTGTTTTAAATTCGAATTTGTTATTGCGTATTGGTTCGATTATAGAACGATTGTAAACGTTTCAGAAAATTGATCAAATTGAAAATAGTTCGTTTGATTTTCGGCAATTCTCTTCAGCGGTAGGTGTTATATAACAATTACTATGGTTATTGAAATATTGAATGTAAATGGGGTTTGCTTGCAAAACCTTCGCTGACGAAGTCGCGGGTAACAGCTAGTACACCATAAATTTGGAAGCGACCCTTCAAAAGTTGCTTCCCGCAACGCTCGATTTGCAAACGTTAACGAAAACTCAAAATAAAAAGAAATTAAAGCAGAATTATGCTTTAATTCCTATTTATTTTGAATTTTCGTCAAAATTTTCTTCTTTTTTACAAGGTAGCGAGTAAAAATGCTCGTCCGACCCAAAAAATATCGTCGGCTTAAAGTTATTTATCGGGTTTCGGCTTGCACGGTAAGCTACAACTAAATTAAACAATTTATTAAATATACAATCGACCCCCCTATAACACTATTGATAATTCCGTTTTATACGAATTCCACGTCGTACGAGTCACTTAGATTTTACAAATTCGCGAGCCATTCACAGTCCGGCACACATATTTGTAAAATCTAAGCGACTCGTACAACACAAAATTCATATAAAACGGAATTATCAACAGTGTTATAGGGGGGTCGACCGTACATCACGTACAGATTCAGATTATTCAGATTATTTTTTATGTACCGCAAGGTATATTATCTAATACAAATAATCCGAATAATCTGAATCTGTACATCATACATAGACCGTAAAATGCTACAGAAAGTCAAGAGAAACCATTAAAACCACGAGATGGATTTTCGGGAGCGTCCGGTCGGACGGCAAAGGACGAAAGGAAAACGAAGAGCACCCGACGACGAGCGGCTCCTAGGTCCACGCTCCGACTTTTTCGCCGGCGTAAGGACGGGCGTACAATTCTAGCAGGGCGCAAACGACGCAAGCGACGACAAAAACGTCGCCATTCACGCAACCAAAGTCGCATGTCCGAGCGAGCCGGAACAGCGGAGACGACAGAGGAATCTAAAATTAAATCCCCGTCGGAATCCGCACCCTCCGGTGGCCCCGAAGCGTCCGGATTCCGACGGAGATCTAACCCACCGCAACAAAGAAAGAAATCCGGCCAAAACGGGTTCTTTTCTCCGTTCGTCGTTCGATTCCAATGCCGATCCGACTTTCGACGGATCAAACGGAAGGAACGGGCACGTACGTAAACATTTTAGTCTGTAGACTAAATATTTTTACCCATTTCTAATCTGGCTCGAGCCTCCATCAAATGTTGCTTTATGACAGATTCGTCAGACACCTAAAAAATAAAGAATAAAAACATTTTTAACGGATATTTAAGGAAAAATTCTGGTGTTTAAAAGATTTAAACGGTTAATTACGTATTTATTTCTTCGAAATAATTCTTTAGCCTCCGATATAATATATTTTCTCTGAGCTTCCGTCTGATCGACTTGACCGGACGGCCACCGCTACGTTTTACCAGCACGTAAGATTTGTTTATACGTTTTTAACACTTCTTGTGTTAAAGACGACATTACAAATTTCTTACCGACAAACACGTTCATTTAATTAATTCGCAGTCATTCCTTCGAACAACGCAATTTTTTTTATATTTATAAACGTTCGTCTCCGACGCTAAACCCCAACCGACGAAAGATCAGAGGGCGCTCCTTTCTATGCGCGCAATTTTCTTACATTTTTTTTAATTTCGCGCATTACGTCGCCTCGAGTTCCATTAAAATAATTATTTTTTTCGGGTATAATTTGTAACAGGTAACAATTTACTTTACTATAGCTTTTTTCCGATTATAATTTTAGTAGAACACGCGTACGAGGAGAACTTCATCCCATCGCGACCGCTCGGACGTCCGGCCATCAATTAGGGGAATGTAAATTAAAGCGACTCGTAAAGAGTCAGTTCTAACATTTGTTGTAAAATGTGCTTTAATTTACAGAATATACGCCTGGGGCCTCAAAATTCGACTCTTAAAATAATTTTTTTTATTTTTCATAATAATAATTAATAATTTAGCTGTATTTCCTAAAAGAAATTGACAAATGAATAACATTAATTGGACAAGAAATTGATTCAGCCTATCAGTAGTAAATTTTAAAATAAATTGTTTATATCCATGGATTACTAGATTTTTTGTTTCTAACACTTCTATCTATTGAAACTTAATAATTCTTGNCTTAAAATAATTTTTTTTATTTTTCATAATAATAATTAATAATTTAGCGGTATTCCCTAAATTAAATTGACAAATGAATAACGCCGGCTATGATATTTTTTGAGGGTAGTAACTAGCAGTAAATTCAAAAATAAATTATTTTTTATATCCATGGATTTTTTGTTTTTAACACTTTTATCTATTGAAACTTAATAATTCCTGTATCAATAAGTTTCAATTTTCATAGTTAAGACAATCTGAACACCGGTAATCTTTTAAATACAGCCGGGCAGTTGTAATTTTATATTGGTTAATTTTCAATGCCAATTCTCCGTGTCACTTCTTTTGGACCAACGGTACAGCGGCGCGGCTGGATGGCCGAGCGGTCGAGGTGGCAGCCTACCGCTCTGGAGGACCCGGGTTCGAATCCGAACGGGTCGAAAAATCCCCAGGAATTTTTCGGGGTGGTCCGTTCGGATATGTCGGGCCCCGTCCCTCACCACCCGGCAGCCCCTTGTGGGCCTGGCCGAACCCATAGTGTGCTTGCAAAAAGAGGCCCTCTTAGTGCCCACAGGACGGAAAGAGTAAAAAAACCGGTATAGCGGCTACCGCGCACAATCCACGACTCGCTTCGATCTCGATTGTGACTGTCACCAGTCGAACGTCGTGCTGTTGGCGCAGGCAGTTCGACCGGTAGTATTCGTCGTGCTGTTGGTAGTAGACAAAAAACTGAAGTGGCAAAAAAGTATTTTGCCACTCCAGTTTTTTGTCTCTCATACAAGACAGTTAATTGACTTGGGAAATTTGTCACTTTTAATTTTTTGTAAATTCTCTTAAAAATCTCAAGTCGAATCAAAATCTTTAATTAAAATACTTTTCTGAATTAACGTCACGCAATTATTAAGCACGTTAAAACGTATCAACATTTTCGTAATTGTTTTCAACAATAAAAATTTTTCGTAATTGTTTTCAACAATAAAAATTTTCGAGAATAGATCAAAAAAGGATAAGCAATATGGAAGGAAAAAAGAATGACAAAGAATTCGGGAGCGATCTCAAAAGACCAAAATCGTCTTTTTTTTATTATTACCTCGCTAAACGTTCAGATATTAAGGTAAGGCGGAATGAACGAGCATCAAAGATATTGGGAAGAAAATGGAGAAATCTGGATTTCGATGCTAAGAAGCCTTACATAGAAAAATCAAACGCGGAGTGGGAAAGATATAGAAGAGAAAAGTCTCTTCCAAATTCTTCCGTAAGATCTGAAAATCTTTGCAAATTTCAAGCTTCTCCTTCTAATCCGGAAGAGGTAACTGGTGAATATACCGAATCAAAAATATCGGTTGAAGAAAGATCCGAATATCGAATTGACGAAGAAAAGGAAGAATTGGAAATAATAGAAAAAGTTGGCAAAAACGTTGAAATGATGAACACAAAAAGACCAGCTGGCAACGAAGAAAACTGCCAACTAAAAACCAAAAAATTAAAAATTGAAGAAGAGGAAGCAGAAAACGAAATCTCAGAAAGAGAAGAAACGTCTAACAACGATCTTTTCCACCCGTTAACTTTTGTTGACGAAGAAAATGATGTTGCAATAACACAAGAAGGACCAAGGGAATTCACTGAAAATGAAGACGTTTCAATAACACAAGAAGGACCAAGGGAACTCACTGAAAATGAAGAATTACGATTCCCATTGAATTACGGTCGTTTCCCATTGTTCAGATTCGGAATATACATTAAAAAATTCTTCGGTTTTTAAATTGGAATAATGATTTTGAATATTTGGAATAATGATTTTGATAATAAGAATAAAATTTATTTTTTTAAAATTTATTTATTATAAATTTAAAAAAAGAATAAAATTTATTTTTTTTAAATTTAAAATACTAGTCTGTTTTGACTATAGTCTATTAATAGAACTTATTATACTGATGAAATTAGAGATTATAGAGAGAATCACTTTTGCTCAGTAGGAGAGCTGCGGGTAGATTACAGGCCGAGTATACATTCTACACAACTATAATTATTTTCAAATCGTTCGACACTGCATACTGTACTATATAATATCAAAAAACTTACTAATACACCTTATCTTGCAGCCGAAGTTTATTACTTCTAACGCTTTCGGTCTTGTTAAAAGACCTTTCTCAAGAAAAATAAAGCAAATAAAATAACAAAATGTAAATCGTTGCAATTTATGACGTCATTGTGAACTTAGCAACGGAAGTATAAAAATCCTAAAGATTACATAAATATCTAAATACAAATAGTTACCATCTCCGAACATCACTCATAAATACATAGCTTAAGATACATAGTAACTACTTCCCTCAATTATTAAGGTTTATATTATACCACCGACCTGGATTTTTGCATTTAGCGAGCGGCTGCACCCTCGACGAGATCAACTAACATCGATAATGACGCTCCTACATAAAATATTCATGAAAAGTTATAAGAATCTGGAACGGATTCGTCGTAGAAACGTCTTTCCGCGCGATGACGTTGAGGATCGAGTACTATTGGAAAATTAATTCATACCGTGTGTTAAAAATGAGATCTTTCAACTAATTTAAGCCTGGTTACAATTTATGTAACGAGGCAATGCCAGTTCCATTTTGTGACCATAGCTCTATAAAAAGGAATTTTGCGGCACCAATAGGTGTTACGATACAATCGTATGCGCTGATTATATTGAAATGTTTAATCGACTATTTTCACAATTTGTGTTTATTCTCGGTAAACGATGCTGGTCCCACGTCCGCTAAGGAACGTGGCATCCTCAAGGAGCCACGTTCCTTACGCCGAAAGCTCGGTTTTTCTTAAAATCGTTTCGATGTACAGTACATTACTCGAATGTGAACATTTTTGCATAATGGAACGATTTATTCTATTTATTAGAAAAATTGAATAATTTTGCATTATCTCTCGAATATCTCGTGATAAAAGCCAAGATTTATTTCTTTTTTTTCTAACATTAAGCACATTCCAACTCACAGATATACTTTAAATACTTGGCTTAAAATCCTCGCAGCACGAAAAAGAGAGAAAATGGCGACACCGAGATGGACGAATCGTAACGAAATTTTGTTACGAATAGTCTATATCGGCACGAGTGGGCGAAGTGAACGGGAAGTTGAGCCGCCTATGGCCCGCCATGCCAAGTCCCAAACCGAGACGTCTATCGACTATCGCATTGAGCGGAGCAGATTCGACACGGGTGCTGGGGGGACAACTGCACTCCCATTCTGCTGGTTTTTCCCGAGTAAAGCCGGATACTTGGGGTAACAAAACACTTTGTAAGGTATATTGTTTCTTTTTTGCACCCCTATGCCTATGGTGGCCAGGGTATCGAGAATATCGCGTGGTACCTACTCGTTGGATGAGACCGTTGGCTGAACGAGTTTCAGACACGTAGACGCTCCTAACACATTCGTGTCGACTTTATCAAAACATTAAATATATCGAATTTAAAGTAATTTTTAATATTTATTCGGGGAGGTTAAATTAGAATATCAAATTAGACGTAAATTTCGAGCGCTATTTTTATATCTTCCATTTTAAGAGATTAAACGATATAATATTGAGAACGTATATTCGATGTAACTTAAAATACTGTCGGAGGAAAAGAGTGACCGAACAAAGTGAATTATTATGAAATTTCTAACGAGGATCTACAGTATATTTATACAAAACAGTTCTTAAAAATACCCCTCCGATGCTGTTAAAAATCAGTACAAATGACTGCTATCTAAGCAAAGATGCCGTACATACGTACTAATCAAAGACACGGGTTTTAGAAATTATTTTATAAATTACCGGAATATTTTATTGTTTATAAAGTATTTTAAGGTGAAACGGGAAATATCTCGGATAAAACGAGACGTAAGTAAATGCGGTTCTACCATCGACAGCCGGATAAATCGTGTCGTAAATGAATAGAGGGAAAATTTTCCAATATTTTATCGGTAAATATCTCGTAATTGGCTGGAAGTAAAGACGAGAAAAAACTTTTTAACATCCCAATGTCGATACGGTACATCAGTTTACGAGAACAATATCAACTTACACAATCCTATCTCTTCTAGCGAAGGAAAATTAAACCGAAATCATTCGATTATTGAATATTAATTAGCTGGTAGAGTAGAAATATTCACGTTATACGTAACCGGTTGCGCGTTAATCACGTTTATTTGGGAATAAATTCAATTTTGAGTTTCGACCACCGGTGGCCGATCCGCTTCGCCGGCCAGCTGTGTCGAATAAAATTAGAAAATATCATTTATCCACCAGCGAATTCGATTATCAACTAGACGAGGATGCGAAACACCAAGTCTACTGGAAAGATACTAAATCTCTTCTCCAATTTCAATCATCTACAAGCCAGATCGTGTTCTATCGTGTTCCTTTTTCGGTTATCCAGTTTCGTCGTCGAGAGGGGCCTCGAATGTGAAATTTTCCTCATCCGCGATGCACGACGAGGACGGAGCAACCAATCTTCTACAGTAATTAAGAACTTAGAATTCCGACTCGAGTAATCTCTATCGTACGATGATCTTAATACACGATTGATTTGTCGAAAGATTCCGTCTTGTGAGAAATTTCATGGAAATCGCGTTAAGTCTCTCTCTTACTTTTTCTATATTATAAAAGAAAGGTCAGATCCTATTTACAACGCGCAACCTTACGGTAGGCTGTCGAGATAGCATTTTTATGTTTCGCACCAGTGAGTACGAATCTGTATTAAACATTCTTTTTTGTTAACTTTAACCGTTCGTCTACTTACGTAAGAATCGCTTATATAATTATGTATAAATTATCGTAGATTAAATAAAATACTCAATTAACTTCCAGTCCGCGTAAACATTCCGTTGTTATAAATTTATAAAATATAATAGTACAGTTTATATAAATATACTGTATAAATATGAAATTTTACATCGTTATAGAATATCTTATATATATATATACGACGGTCCGGAAGTCAATTAACCGTGCCTTTTGTAAGAAATTCGGCGATTTTTGCAAGAAAATCGGCAATTTCTGAACGTGGGCCGAAGCGTTGTAACTCGTATATTGTGTGAACGAGAATTCGCTGGTTAAACAATTTTGAAATTCAAGTTAACAATTTTTGAACAGTTTACGTTCGAGAATTGTTAAATTGTTGGGCCGTTCTGTATTTTTAATGTATATACTGTAATTAATAATTTTGGATCGAGGACTTCATTCGAGTCTGTCGGAGCGACAGCGGTGATTCGCATTCTTTAATTAGGCGAAGACCAAGAGGTATATTTCCGCGCTAATTTTTGCACCGTGTCACAATGACCTAGATTCTACCGACTTCTGGTTGGTGGATGGTACCGTTTTACGGACGTATTCTCGTCGAAAGTTGAATACAGCTCAACTCTCTTTTACGCTGGTTTTACGATCTGCTCGAGTGTAAAATATCATGGGCACGTGATTAAAAGATTTTACGGCCAGAGTTTTTACGCTAGTGGAGTCTCGGCCTAATTCGGTACGGCCAATAAGGCCAAGAACACACGTGCGTAAAATTTGGCATAAAATCTAGCTTGAAACAGAAAGCGTAAAAGTTTTTCTGAAATTTTGGCTGAAACATATCTGAAAAAAGAGTAGAGCGTGTCTCTACTTTTTAGGTCCTAAAATTTTTACGCCAAAATTCCTTTAATAAAGAGAAGTCATTTTTGTGACGTCAAAGTAGACACGTGGTTTTTATTTTTAAAATGGCGGCATTAAGGGTTAACCTTACAATTGTGACGGTCTGGAAAAAAGAAAAATAAATGAAATAGAGGAGTTTATCGAATCCGTTCGACCACATCAGTGTCATGTATAAAGACACTGTATTTAAACAACGTTTATGGATGGCCGAAGGTGCTAAATTTCAAATAACAGGTAGGTCTAGTACAACGGTCGGCAACCGGTGGTCCGTGGAAAACTTTGGACATTGATCCAGAAGGTTACGCGAAGTATTACGAAGGAAATGCAAAATGCTTAGTTACTTTTTTCACTCATTGGGGGTTTCTATTCGAATCTAAGACCAAATACGAAGCGACTGTTATCGATATATAATGAACAATAAACAATATTGCGAGTGCGATTGTCATTCTCGGTGGAAAAGCGCTAAGAATCCGTAAAGTTGTTTCAAACAAGCAGCGATGAACTTTAGGTTCGCATTAATTTGTTATAATTAAGCACGTGAGTTTTCTTTTTAACTCTTTCCGCCCTGCGGGCACTAAGAGGGCCTCTTTTTGCAAGCCCATTATGGGTTCGGCCAGGCCCACAATGGGGCTGCCGGGTGGTGAGGGACGAGGCCCAACATATCTGAACGGACCACCCCCGAAAAATTCTTGGGGATTTTTCGACCCGTTCGGATTCGAACCCGGGTTCCCCAGAGCGGTAGGCTGCTACCTTGACCTCTCGGCCATCCGGCCGCAAAAAATAAAAAAAAAATATGTGCCCCGGGTGAGTTTCCTATTAATATAGTAAAATTGAACTTTTATGATCATTATTCCACAGATTTTGTATCGTTTTAAAAAATTTACGATAGTGGTCCGCGGGATTCAAAATTGTGAGTTTAGTGGTCCGTGAGGTCGGAAAGGTAGCCGACCGCTAGTCTAGTAGAATCGATATACAGTATTTAGATCACACGTTCTTTATTTCAATTAGGAATACGAGTTTTTTTATATTATAGCAGAGAAAGCGGAGAAAAAGTGGAAGGTACAAAGGGATAGATATATGAGAGGGAAAAATTAATAAAATTAGCACTGTTAGTGGCAGTGGTGTTTCCTATTCGGCCAGAATTTTTACGCGTGTGTTCTTGGCCTATCGGAGATTTTCCGGGGGTGAATCCTCGTCCGTCACCATCCAGGCCCGCTATCGTGGGCCTAGTCGAATCCACAATACATTTACTAAAATGCCTTAGTGCCTGTAGGGCAGAAAGAGTTTTTTTTTAAAGGAAAAAACCAAGGTAAACCGAAACAGTGTAGAAAAATTTCTACAATTACTGTATTTGAAAATTGCTTAACAACGAATGTGAGTCGAGTATATAATACTTATTGTTATATGTTGTGTTTATTTAGCGACAGATGGCAGTTTATTCTAGTCATTTGAATCCACAGATTATTTCGCATTCGACAATTTTCCTCGAAATATTCATTTATACATCACAGCCGAAGCACCGAAGTAAATACACTGGAGTTATTCGTTAGAATAAAATTTATGCATTATTTTATTGGTAAAAATGTATATTTATTTACAAAATAACTTTTTTTTAGAATAAATTCAGAACTTGGATGGGAATAAAATGTCCTTGGGAATAACCGGACTCACTGGTCTGAACTGAAACGTAAACTAGAAGAGATTTTTGGCGAAAACATCGTCGAAGGTCAGATTAACTAAAAGTAAGTTTACCTTTCACGTTTTTAGATTTAAAAACGATAAGTTACGTGGATATATCTTGTTTATATTAAAAATAACAATAAAAAATTCGTATAACATATTTTTTGAAAATGAATTTGTACGGCCCCTCGGCTCATTGCTGACATTTTCTTAAAGTTGATAGTTATAATACTGTAATAGTCTACTAATAAAAAACTAATGATTTATGGTTACTAATTAATACAAGTAACTAACGGATTCATCAATCCATAACTGACTTTTTTATTCATAGTTATTAATAATCATAGTTCTTTTACATTTTAAAAATTAATTCTTACTTGCTAATGATTAAATACTTAGTTATTAATTATTACGAATAGTTACTAATGAATTCATGCAGCTTCGTCAATTAATTACTGACATTTTTTGAATAAGAAATCTAGGGGTAATTGTTTTCAATTCGAAAAGTTACCTCCAGATTACTCCTAGGTTTTTTTATAGCTATAAGAGCTATCATTTTGAGTTTATTTTTGTTGTAAAATGAGCTGGACTTTTAAAACAAATGCTACGACTTCATTTTTCGTATTGACTTAAAGTAATGAGGCGTGGATAAAGATTTCTGTAATAATTAAAAAATATTTAAAAAAATTCTTCTTACGCCGGGAGCACTAAGAGGGCTTTTTAATCGTACCCATTATGAATTCGGCCCGATCCGTAATTGAGGTGTCGGCAGTGGCCCAGCGGATAAAACCACCGACCGAACGGTGGTAGTGGTGGCGGGTTTGAGCCTGGCCCACGATACGGCCACGTAGAGTTTTCCGAGTTTTTTCCACGTTTGAAACACCTAAATAGAGGTTACTTTCCCCGCAAGAGATCTCCCGATGACTGGTAGTGCCACAGCTTTTCTCGCTGTGTGGTATTCGAATTAACAAAGCAGATTTCCTGCGCAACGTGGGTTCGGCCGGGCCCACTAATAAGGAAGACGTACATATCCTGGCCGCTGACGAATATTTCCAAGAATCCAATAAGATACACGAATTGATAACTGATATATTTTTTTGAATACACAATTACTAATTTTTAATAAGTGAATTCGTACAGCTTTACTATTAATTATTGTTTTTTAAAAAATTATTATTATAAGTTCTAGTAACTCAAAAATATTTTATTATTTAAAGAAATTTATAAAAGCTGATGCTATATTTATCCTTCGTACGAAGATGCGACGAGCGAATTAAATATATTTTCCTGTTACAATACAGCGTATTATTTTGTATGTAGTTACGACGTAAGATCTAATTATAAACTAGGGAATTTTTCCTAATTTGATAACCTGCCATAAACGTTCATAATATTTATCATTATTGTAGACTCGTGTACGAGTAGATTTACACATGAAAAATGTTACTTGATGCGGTTTGAATTTTTAATTTATTACAAAATCGTGGCTAATTATTAGGGAAATGACTATACTTTCGTCTGATTATGTGTCTATATCTTATATAATTAATTTTAACATTTTAATTATAAAAATTGATATTTAATTAAAATAAAATTGTAATAATTGCGTGTAAATCTTAATCAATTTGTGTTATACTCGTGTTTTTGTTTTATATTATTTATGTAAAGATGAAGTTGTTACCGAAAACAAGGAAATTAATTTTTAAAAGTTATTTATAATTCTAAACTAAATTAATTAATTAATTATGCAGCTTGGCAGTCTGCGGACAAGTTTTTTATTACAGTATATTTAAATGTTAATGAAATAAAATCCTTCGTTTTGAATTTTGCTTAATTAAAGTTTAATGGAAAAAGAAATATAACCTGTCCAAAACGGAACCGGAATAAAAGGAAATCCTGCCTAAATAGAAAAAAAATTATTCGGAACAGAGCGATTTTTAATGTCAAAAAACATCTGTACAAAACGGAAAAATTTTTTGTATCGGACTGTTCCGGTTTACACAGGTTTTACTGTATTATTTCCTTTCGATTCCTGTTAATGCCACGAGCAATGTTAAGCACTTTCGAGACTGCCGATCCAATTTCTTTAAAGGCGTTATAAAGGTACTATACATACATAAAACAAAGCACTAGTAACAAGCAATTGATGAAATCTGTAAGAAAGCGAGGCCCCCGAACACTACAGGGTCTATCGGGTAGACCCTGTCGGGTTCGGGGAAATTTTCGAGTCTACCCCATGCATTTTAATATGGCCCCGAAAATTTCTGTTCTAAATGGATAACCGGCAGCTTGGGACCGAAAGTAATTCGGATTTCTGGATTTTCCGTTTTTCTGGACACGGGCTAAATACGTGCTGTATTTAAAATATAAAATAAACAGTGGAAAGTAAAGAACGAAATAATATTTAACAGTTTACGAATTAATATACTTCTGAAGCAGGATCGGTTTGATCATTATTAATCCTGTTAAAATGAAGAATACCGCGTGCACTGTAACATTTAGAATGAAAATTAAACGAAGAAATGTAAAGAACTTAATTTTTTACTTAAAATCTTTATTAATTCACTTAAAAATCATAATATAAAATACTGGAAGTTCGGTCGAGGGTTCGCGCCTGGCTCGGACGGGCAGGCCACGTGGAGTTTTCCGGGTTTTCTTCACCTCCGTAACGCCTAAATGGGGGCCAGTTTCCCTTAAAAAGACCTCCCGGAAGGCATCCCCCTAGGCAGACGGCCCAAGTGTGGCGTTGCCATAACTTAACAAATAACAAACAAACTTATAATATAGAACATCGCTACAGCCAGTGGGGCGTTATATATCTTCGCGGGGCCTGGGTTAATACGAATTAGGGAGCCCCATATACAGTATTCGACATTTTTGAAGGGAAAGATTTTCTTATAAAAGATTGGAGTCGCAGGAAATTGTCTTTTGCGCCCATAGGATAACGCGCCACCGACTACAGTACTTGGGTCCGACAAATTCAAAAATAGGATTTCTGCCAGCCCGATATTTGACTGTGAAATTTATAATCTCCTCTTCTTAAGCGTTATTCGTCAACTTTTTATAAGTACCGTAATGCAATTCTAGTTTATTTATACAATACGCAAACAAAATAATAATTACTAAAATTATGTGGGACGACTCGAGTCACTCGTTATCGTAATGGGTTTTACCACGGCTTTCCAAGCGCCTTCGAATAATTTTAATGAATAAACGAGAAGGAGCCTAATGTAATTAACATAAACCCACCTATGACTCGAAGGGTTGTTAGTAGAAAAACGAGTTTCTCTGGTAAGATGATGAGTTGGTATAGTGACTCAGTTCTTTCCGAGAATCATTTTTATTTCTTTACAAATGGATGTGTCAAATAAAATAAATCCGCTTCGTTTATTGATAATCATTTAAGAATAATTTAATTGCTGGTAAGTCGTTCGTTTATTTTTTAAGTTTGTATTAATTTGATTCGGGATTATTTTTTACAATGTTATATCTATAGGAAATTATGGATTTCCTGTTTTTCGTAATGCTTCTTTCTTCTTTGACTATTTTTGTCGATTTATTCTCTCGTAATCTTTATTTTTATTTAGAATACTTAAGAATAACTTTTTTATCTAATTAAAACATTGACGATAACACTTTAGAGGATAGTCTGTTTGATGAATTAGCCAGAAAAGTCTTTATTTTTGATAGGTTTAGTGATTATTCGAAAACGAGTTTCGATTAATTTAATAATAATTAAGAACTAGAAGAATCATAATACTTATTATTATTATTTTATTCTAGCCAGTCGCTTCATTTATACATTCATGATTTTAAAAAAATAGAATTGATAAATGGTACATAGTTGTATTTAGAAAGACTCTCCGCGAAGACTTATTTGGTACGAAGGTTATTTGGAATAATAAAAACTAATTGTTATCGCTTTTATATCTGACGTTTTATTCATTTCCTTCGTTATCCTTCGAGAATTAAATAGGAAATTTTCTATATAACCCCGGGCATTATTTAAACATTCAAAAAAGTCGGAGGACAAACTGTCGCTCAAATTCTCAATTGTCTGGATTTTCGTTACTTAAGAAATTTTTCTCTAATCTTTTAGGGACTTTATACAATTTAAAATTTTAATTAAATATAAATTTCATTGTCCGAAACGCGGGAAGTTGTACAACAGACAGTTTCAGGTAATTTGTCTCATTAAATGCATTAGAAAACGTCGAGACGATTTGCCCTCTGAGGATTTAATTCATTAGAAATCATCGTCATCTCGTGACGTGGATTTGATACGAAAATGAATGTACTCGGATCTGTCAGAATTTGTTCATTTTTTCCGTCTAAGAACCAGTTGTCAGTTCCATTTTTACCGATGACAAGTTCAACTCTCCCCATTCAGACTTCTTATCCCAACAAATGCCTGGTATTTTCTCCTACTTGTATTCGAATTGCTTTATTATTTTGCTCGAATACGTCTTTCTAATAGGTGTGTACGGTAATTGCGTGTCCGTTGAACTTTTCGCGTTGCGTAATCATTTATTCTTTATGTTAATAACGAAGTGTAAATACTCTTCCACTTATTTTTGTTCTCGAATCTCGCGCCTTCTTTACATATTCAATAAATTCATTTTTTACAATGTTTGTAATCGAGTTTTGATTGAAATCGTATTGGAAAGCCTAAAATATTACTCGCGACCGCTCGGAGATTAAGAGTCACCGGTTAATAAAATAATAATCTGTGTTTAATTAGCCTTAAAATGACTTAGGCATCGATATATTTCCTTCACTAATTTATTCGTGATTAATGGATGGAGGTTCGAACTCGATTCCAATATGCCAGTAATCATTTGCATAGGTACTGTACCATACGCCTCTTAGATTTATATAAAATCCGAGCCAAGAAAAATTCTACGGACTTAGGCAGGCGCTCAATTTATAGCTGGCCGAATATAAGTAACAACGCTCTCTTCTAGTACAATAAAACAGAAGGATAGTCGAGTTATTCGAAGGTGATACGATTTAAAAAGAAAATCAACGTAAATAAAGAGAAATATATAGGCCTACTTGCGAAATGCTCTTAACATTTTTAATGTTTCGTTCGAGAACCGTGTCGAACGGAAGGCGAAATTGCGCATCCAACTCCGAATTTCTCAATATTTAAGCGTTTAATGATAATATAAGCTAATTTTTAACAGTAAAAGGAATTATTAATCAATATCTTTAAGTTATTTAGGTATTAAAAATACAATGCATTAAATATATAAAACAATTCCGCTTCAAATTTAACATCACGAAGTTAAATTATTCTTCAATCGTCGATAGTCGTGGTTTATCTTATCTAAAATATTTATTATTATATTAATAATATTTTACTTTCATTTCGCAACAAAAACTCCATGTTATCCATATATATTTTCTTAGATTTTCCTTCTTAAAGCTGTATATTCTCGAAATTATTACTTCCGTAGGTAACACTTATCGAATGATGCGTGTTATAAAATAATTTTATAGAAATTATGCGCTTGGATTTGCAAATATGCATTAACTCACGCCACGATCATCCGATTACGGCACGATAATAATAATAATAATAGTTGTTTGTCAACTTTGGAATAGAATCGATATTATCGCGCGGCATTGTTTCCAAACGGCTTTCTCCACCCGATTCCAAGTTTAATAAAACAATTTATGCCAATAAATTAGCAATTACTAACGATAAAAGTATATTTAAAACATTTAAACTTAAATCTTTGAAATTCTTGATGAAATTTCGAGTATAAGTTACGTGTTGAACTGTAAATTTCTCGTGCCAGTTAATTAATTACTTAATTTTAATAATTTTAAGAAAATAGAAGTATTAATTATTAAAGTATTATTTAGCTTCTGTTACCGGCGAGTTGACTAATAATTATTCTCTCGTTTAGAGAGTTTAAAACATCGAATTAGGTCATTCCTTTGTTGTAAGATGTAACAATTTGGTTCATTGCACCTCTACATTTTTATTTCTCAATCGTTATTTTATTTTATAGCTACCAATTACAGATATTTTGAAAGTGATATAACAACTTCTAAAAACAAAAAACCCATTGATACTCGATACTCTAAATAATTCTAATTATTGATCCTTCCAAGTATTTTTTTTAATTTTTCAAGGAAAATTTTCTTGGGAAACGAGAACATCCGAAATCTCAAATCAATAAGTTTATAAATGATTTATTTATCTGTAGATATATTCAAGAATTTGTTTTTTACTTTTGCAATTACTTCTTTAATTAAATATTCGTGTGGTGTATCTATTGTACGTTCCAACGAATATCGATAAGATCGGTAAATATTCAATGTCTGACTGGTACGATGTGGCCACACCCTTATTTAACTAAAATAAAATACAATATATCTTTATAAAGAATTATTGTTATATCCCCAAATATATTTTAAGCTTAGTTTATTTGATTTGTAAACTTTTAATTAAAGTATTTTGGCTCGATTCTGTAAAGATATTGTATAAGAAATTCAGTTTTTTATCACATAATAACAATTTATCGTTGTAAATTCTCTAGAAAATGAGATTATAACTCAATAATAGATGCAATTAAGAGTAAATTAAAATGCTCTTATATTAACTTTATACTTTTTTGATAAAGAATGGTGATAATCGATATTTCTCAGTAAAAATTAAGACTTTTTACCATTGTTTTTCCCGATTTTTTAAACATAATTATAATTTTATCCGTATTGTTATTTTATAAATAATTTATTGTATTTTATTTCTTTTAACAGATACCATAAATTAGAGATGGATCTGTGGAAGTTGATCGTCTTTGCTTCGGTTGTAACGGGGATTTCTCGGGGAAGAACAGTTTCTTACGAAGAATTAGTTTCCTTGAGAGCCGATTGCGATCCGATCGATAAATGCAACACCACTAAAGAAAACCTGGAAGTGCCATCGAGAAGTTGTCAATGCGACGATTCGTGTGCCTTCTACGGAGATTGTTGCTTAGATGCTCCAAATCGTCAAGCTATGGAAAGGATGAAGACTCGCAACATTTGCTTGAAGAAAAATAACTTTCAGGGTTATTTTGCAGTATCTAACTGCAAAAGAAATTGGAGAGATTTAGAAACAAGAAGAAAATGTGAAATTCCAAATGCCGAAAATCCATACACGTTGATACCAGTTATGAGTCAAAGAAGTAAAATCACCTACAGAAACCGTTACTGCGCTCGCTGCAACGACGATAATCGAGATTTAGAATTTTGGAAAATTGGCGTAACGTGCTCGCAATCGGACACAAATTCCAGTTACGATTTTCAGAACCATCTCGTATACGATTCTCGCTTGAGAACGTGGGGTTTGAGAACACCGGATCAAACGTTTGTAAGATGTAACTTGAACCCCGTTCCACCCGAAAATACGCAGCACTTGAGGTCTTGTTATTCGGACACCATATCCACTTGTCCTCCCAACTGGAAGGATGATTTTATTAGAGAAAAATGCGAATCTTATACGGCCGTCATCTTGGCCGATCACAAAACTAAAAAGTACAGAAACGTGCATTGCGCCATTTGCAACGGAGTCGGCGTGATGGATCTCGATTGCTTGCATCTTTTTAGCAGAGCGCAAATTGACGGTACGCCGAATATCGTTTGCCTCTTTAGTGTCGGCAATTGCACCTGCGAAAACAAAGTTCACGATAAAGCATTCGGAAAATGTCGCGAGCTCACTTGCGGTTTGCCTTTTCTCGAACTTAGAGATGGTAAATGCGTTCGAAAATCATAGAAAAACACGCCTCGTTGGCGCTGATTTAACCATTTGAAATCGCAATAACAATAAATTAAAGCTTATGCATTGCTTTAAAATGTATCTAAATATATAGACCTATATATTACGGATGTGTGTCACTTTAAATCTCTTATATCGAAACTGTAACGTTTTATGTTATGGTTTTTATGTATTCTTTATGATTGAATTTTTGAAAGTAAATATTTTTAAACCGGCCATGATAATTTCATATTAATTATTAAATTAAATAAATGCGTATAAATCTACAGCAGACTTTTCCAATATTAACAAATTATGCTAAAGTTTTTAAATAATTTCCACGCGAGATTATTAAATTAGCTGTAATTAGCCACATTAAAGTGGGTGCTACCTTCTCGAGGGAGGTAGAAGACTCGAGAAAGCGCTGGAAGATAAGGGGAAACAAATATATATTTATTTTAGTGCCCATATTCGTATATATAACCTATATCCAGCAAAAGACATTGGGCAAGATGTATGACCCGAAAAGGGAAACTTCTGTCATCTTAACCATTTTCTTTCCAGTTGTCTTCCAAATTATTCCACTCTCTTTGTCTACCCGTTATCTCAAAATTTTTACTCTTTCAACACATTCTGCTCATCTCCATCCGTTCTCTTTTATCTTCTCCACCATATCTTTATTCGTTCATTCCTTTTTCCGTCTCTTGTTGTAATTTCTAGCATTATTATAATTATTATTTAGAAAACATAACTTTAATTTAAACTCGCTTGACATAAAGTACATGAATTAAATTGTAATTTATTTTTGGGCCATCCATCCTATATATGTATGTGTAGAGAAGCGCACCAACGTCGGACTATCGATTCTTTTGCCGTAATATTAAAACTAAAATTGTTTTTTAATACAAAAAAGTAGCTTGGTTATTTGTTCGATAACTTCCTTCTTTAGAAACGATTATAAAGTTTTTGTAAAGAGCGTTTTTGAAATTAGCAAACCGGGCCAACGATGACGGTTTGGAAAAAGTCCTCGGATATAAATGGAATTTTATGAGAAAATAAAAATAAATTATGGCAAAAAATGATTTATTGAAGCATTTTTACGCGTTGAGGTGTAAAAAATGTTTATTTGCAACAAATCCCTTGGCCCTCGAACATTTTACACGGTCCCAACCGCAGTTCATCGCAGCAATCCGATGGCCGGCATAAAACATGCAGGCAGCATTTTCGGCACGAAAACCCTATTAAAATAGTCCGAAATATTTTTACTGATTTTACCATTCTATCTTATTTCTATGGCACTTAGGCTTCGGCGTTAATTATTGTATATCAGAAACGGTTAACAAAGCGCCTAATATTTTAATTTTATTCTACTACTACCGTATATATAAGTAATGAGGAACGAGTGAAGCGACGTCACGTTTCAACAATTTCGTGAACGGAACCCACACAATTTGAACAGAGGAGAAACCAGAACTGAAGTATTTACTTCATTTAACTCTAGTTTGCAACACTTCTTTCGCCAAATAAGCCGGGTTCGAGTTTGGTGCTTTACCTCTATATACATACACGCCATTCAATTTTTATTCTTTAATTTTCTTTATAAAAATTGATTGCGACAGACAGAACATTAAGTTATTATATTATTATCATCACATAGACACAATATAATTATCGTAATGGCGCGTTATGATCTCGGGGTGCCACGTTTTCAGCTCCCACTCCCTAAGCGTACCGCATAAGATAAATGTATTTTTAAACAGATAATATTTGGATAAATAGTCACATTTAGTATTAACCTTCATTTTTTCTCTATTATAACAACAATAGAATAAAAAATAATAATAAAAAATTGGTTTGGTCTTTCGGAATTGGTGGCCCTAGGCAAATATTTTTACGGTCTACGTTATAACGTATCCTTGAACGGCCATTTTGATATTATATAAAATATTTTCTAGCAATTTTATGTCGAATATCGTGTTTTAATTGCATAATTTGCAGTTTTAAATCGGGGGTTTATACGTTCGTCAATTACTGTACTCATAATTCTCATATCTTTTATTAAATTCTAAAAATATATTACAGTTAAAGTAGTGATTTTTAACTTGAGGAATGTGACAAATTATAGAAAACATTTAAATTTAATTAATTTAACTTTATATTTATTAAAATTATTCGCAAGAAAGTATTTTGGATAAGGATGGAAAGAAGAGTTTTACATTGTAATAAAACTTAAAAAGCACTCTTTTAAATTATTTTATATAAAAAATTTCATATTTTTCAATTGAATATTGATCTTTAAAATATTTATTTTAGAAAATACATTTTGAATGTAAAAAAATGAACTTTTACTGTAAACATTGTCCTTCGTATATGTTTACCTATTGACACTTTATTCCACTTTAAATCTTCCACCCTAGTCGATTGGCTAAACACTGAACGATATGTCAACCGACCAACTGCCACGTGTTTTCCAGGTGTTTTTCGCGTATCTAACACCTTCCCTTCTTGGCAGATATCCATATTCCATCCAATCAAACCACTTTAATTTAACAAGAAAACAATTATAACTTATAACTAAAAATGAAGTTAAAAAAGTAAAAGAAGATCTTAAAATTCAGCAATTATATTTAAATTTTTTGATACAAATCAATGAGACGAGAAGCCACGCAAATTTCTTTATTGCAACTGAATGTTGCAATAAGCAAATTTGCAGGCTGAATTTGCCTGCTTCCGCGGGTCAATAACTTACATCAGAAATTTCATTGGTTATTGCAACATTTAGTTGCAATAACGAACAAAAATAGATGAATTTATATAAAATACAGCCTAATAAACAAATATTGATAATTTACTTATTTTTATGAATTTTTCTACAGTCAGAAATAAAATTTGAAAAGCTGGACGTAACTTTATCGCAGTATATAATTTGAGAATGGAGGAAATCCGGAGAAGAGGAAGACGAACAGGAAGGATGCCGTTAGAAATGATAAAAGAAAGAATCTATAATCCATTTTTATGCTAGAAATAAAACAAAAAATAATATAATTTTAAAAATCTAGTAGCGAGTTGCTTAACTTTTCCGACAACAATTAAAACTGCGTGCGGTGCCATCTGTTACGATATTTTATTTTTAAAAACTTTTCATATTATTTTTAATTATTATAAAATGGAAAATGCTTAATTTTGAGGGTAAGGATGAGTTTTATTTTAAAAAGTGTAAATGCTAATAACGGTTAAAATCGTCATAAGTCCGAACCTATACAAAATATGACACGTGACTCTCTTTACCTCCTACCACTTCGACCTTTAACTACCAAAATTTAGTAGTATCAATCCCACTAATACACAAACTTCCCCACAAAATTTCAGAAATTTTCGACAGAAATTGCAGGAGTTATTAGGCTTGGAAGAGGGTGAACAAAATCATGCCCCCAAGCACACGCTAACATCCACACATACAGAAAAAACCCCTGAATTTTTTCGCATTTCTCGACGTTTCGAGTTTCCGAGTCCAAAAATATAAAAATCTTAGAGGTGGGTCATTTTTAAACCCATCGCCATACTTTTCCTCTGTTACGTAGGCCTACAACAGAGCCGAGAAAATAAAAATGAATCGAGTGTTGAAAGAAAGATGAAATAAAAATTTTTAAAAGATAATTTGAAATTAATCACAAAAAATTAATTATAATTAGTTTATTGTACAATTATCCTATTTATTCTATACACATTCGTAATGCGAATATTTTTGTGAATGTAAAGTTAAAAACATATCGTACGATAAACATCAAATTTCATTATATTTAATGATTTTTTCAACAATAAACAATTAATAATAATTTAGCACCGATCTATTCCTACTTTTATAGATTGTCGGTATAGGTTCAACCGGGTCTTGAGATTTTCTTGGCTAAAATAAACATAAATACGTGCAAAAAGTTGTGCCAGTCACAAAGAGAAACGTTCAATTTATTCACCTACTGCGCCTAAACGTGCCCTTCGACTAACACGTGTTACCTATCTAACCCCGATTTATTCTGTACAATTTGTATAAAATAATTTGTTTTTGGAATATGCAGACTAAATTCTCAATCCAATTTAAGTTTTATTAATTAATTATTGTTTAACTCGGCTTCTTACTTTGATTCTATTAATATTTTCTATTGTCTTTAATATTAATTCACGTATAGTACTGTATTATTTTTACGTTAAATCACTGAGACGATATTAAGGTAGGTCATCAAATAGAGAAGCAGGAAAAATTGAGGCTTTTATTTGTACTAAAACTCCTTTTTTCCTCTTTATATTTATTTACATACTTGATATTCCGATTTACAACTTTGCCTTTATTCCGCTTTGCAACATCGGCATCTATTAAGGTTTTTAATGATATTGATAAATCAAAATATCCCAGTAGTTTTTATGCAGTATATTTACTATATTGTTGTTTACGAAAGCCAAGTAGGCTCGTATATTCGCTTAATTTACATAATTTCGAGTATATCCAAATTCCTTACATAAAGTAGCCGATAGTGAATCGTCTAACACGAAAAGTAACTAATTAAAGTAGTAATTAATTGAATTTATTGCGGTTTTCTTTGTTGAGAAATGCATTCATTCATATTTTTACCAGATTGTTCTGGCAGTCTCGTTGCTGTAACGATACGAAGAAAGGAGTTATTTAACTCGTATTTCATAAGAGGAAGAAAGGTGGATTTAGACTAAGTTTATATGACGTATCTCGTAGCAATTCGTAAAATTTATTGAGATACACGTCCTTGAGAACTTCGCGATTGTCTGCGAGTGCATCGTGGCCGTTTTGGGCGTGAAGGACGATGTATATAATTAGAAAACGGTCGCTAGATTGGTCATTGTTTTTTCCCCTTTATACCACTATCCAATAGAGATAAAGTTATTAAAAAAAGAGAAAATTCTGCGAAATCCATGGATATCCTTTCAAAGAACAGAATCGGCATTGTTATTCGTCAGTTACACATCAGGTAAGTTTTCGACTTTCCAATATTCGTGATAAATTGATGTAGATAAGCCGGGAATCATCGTCACCTTTGTTCTTCAGATATCGCACATCCTATCATTTCTGAATTTAATGGCCTATATCTTCGTAATTAAACTAAATTGAAGCATTTCTGATTATCCAAGAAAGCATAATTTCATAATTTCACACTAATAAGAATGTAAATTATTATTAAAAGATTTAGCTCCAGAATTTGCTTGGTTTTACGATTTAGTCTAAAAATTGCAAAAAAATGAAAAAATGTAAAATGATTAGCGTAAAAATTAGCATAGATAACGTGGAAATTTTTATGGTAATCATCGCTTTATAGCTATTGTGAACTACTTTATAAAATTTATGGATAAAATCTTAAGTGATGTATGGTTAACATCAGTAATTGTAGGTCTCGTATGAAAACAGTTTCCACTCGAACAACCGTCGTTACGTGATTCTTCCTTACTGAAAAAATACAATTTAAATAACATAAAAAACTTCTCCAAGTTTTCTTTCGTCTTATTTAAATTCTGATTAAGGTGGCATGAAATTAACATATAAACGTGTGATTCCATAATATTGAAGGATTCGTGTTAATTACTGCAAATTTGATTTTAATAATACAATTATTGAGCATTTATCCTTAAAATTTATTATTCTATAAATTGCAGATAGAAAAATTTTTGAATTTTTTACAGATGACATGAAACTTATCGTAACATCGCTGTTGACACTGCTGTTTGCGGAAGAGATGGCATGCCACAGGGAAAAGTATCAAATGTCGTGTTATCCGCTCGATTCCTGCCACAGCTCCGATCGGTCTCAACATAATCGAAATTGCAAATGCGATAGATATTGCTCCCAATATGGCGACTGCTGTCTAGACGCAAAATTTAAGTACTACGCCAGCAACATCAGCCAACCCAAAATGGAATGCCATAAGACGGGCATTTCTAAAGGTTATTACGTGGTTGCATCGTGCGACAGATACTGGAAAGACCGCTACATTTTACGAAAATGTCAAGAAAGTGCCGACATAACCGATCCCCTATCGAAAATTCCGGTAACCAGCGGGGTGACCAGCACGAGTTATCGTAATTACTACTGCGCCATTTGTAATTACGATAGTCACGATTTAGATTTTTGGTTAGTATCTTTACGCTTCTCGACGTTGGAAGCTAACGAGAAGGAAATGTTAGTTAATAATTATATAAAAACGCATCTAACTTACAACCCCTACTGTAGAGAATGGGGGGTTTGGCTTTACGGTACTTTCCATATCGGCAAAATGAACATTTATCCACCGAGCGATTACGAAGACGACGTTTTCAGGACCTGTTTTCCGGACGTAACTTCGCACTGCGCTCCAAACTGGAGGATCGAAGCCATTAGACACAAATGCCAATCTTACACGGCTATGGTGTTCCGTACCGGGAGCGAAAACGGATACAAGAACGTCCATTGCGCCCTTTGCAATTACGTAAGCACTCATTTGTTAAAGTGTAGCCCCGAGAAATTGGATCCGTCTTTGTATCGCAGAGTGGTTTCTTTGGCTTCTCTACTGGAAATCAAAACCAGCGATTGCAATACCGGAGAATACTACGATCCATTTTTTAAGAAGTGTCGTAACGTTGTTTGCGGGTTTTCTAATCGAATTTTGGTCGGTGGAAAATGTGTACGAATCGGAAGAAAGGGTAAATAATACACTACACGGATGCTAACCGTTACGCTTATTTTTAGGAAGAATTGTATTAACGAGCTTGCATTTGCCTCGTCGCTCAGATTCTGTACACATTTAATCAAATTCTGTATTTGTAATACGAAAGAAATAAAATAAAGTTAATTACTTTTAAATGTGTTGTAATTCTTCAAAATTTCTGAAAGTACATTAATTAATATTAAATTGGTTAAATTAATTGTCTCAATGTAAGCATTGATAAGCGCATATTATTGCGCTTATCAATGCTTACATTGAGACATATATAAGCGCATGATATTGCGCAGTCACTTGTTTTATTTTAAATTCATTCTAAAGTAAGCATTACAAATCAAATATCGATATTATAATTTGTTAAATTAGAATAAGATATAGGCTAATTCTCGAAATAAAATTAAATAAATGACAATTATACTTGCTTAAAAACTTAAATAAAATTGTTAAAATAGAAACGGGTATAATGTTACGTAAAGGATTCTTTCGTCTCTCTTTTCGCCTATCATCACTGAGCCGACTGTTCTCTGCAACAAGATTTCTTGTCTTCTTCCATCTGAAAACAAAAAATCTCGGGCTACAAATTAAAAAAATCCTATATATAAATATCTTTCACAAATAAACCACAATTTTACAAGGGTATAAAAACAAAACGTCATACGACTAACTGTATGACGTGTTATGAAGTACTACGATAAGGTCATAGTTCACGACTATAGTTTATATACCATACAGTTTATAACCATACCGTGACCGTACCAGTTTATTATGACGTCATAATAAACTATAAAAAGTGCTATAAACCATTTCAATCCGAAATGGATTGCTAAATAAAAGTAATAAAAGAGTCGTTTAAAGGCCCGGTCTCTGTTCAATGGGGATTTTATATGATAATCGATGCGACTTTTCGATCCAATTCCGATCAAATTGACGAGAGAATATTATTAAATTAGTTTCTTAAAACTGTCTCGAAAATTGGAGTTTCAACTTTTGTCAAGATGATTAAAAAAGAACGGAGGGATAGATTATCACAATACGTAAACGAATGGCTGTCATAGAAAATAATAGAGATAAAGTTAAAAATAGCTCATTTTTGGTCGAGGAAATTCCTAAGTTTTCGAGATTTTTATTCAACCTTTATGGACGGACACACAGGCAAATTAATAACTTAAACGCTTTTTTATTACTCGAATATAGTTTCTATCCTATAATATTCTTACAGAATTTTAAAATAAGTCGCAAAATTTCTCTTAAAATAAAACACTTAAACACAATTCAACGTATTTACAATTATTATAAACAATAAAGGTACATTTAAAGTTAATATTTACAATAAAAATTGCTTTAAGGTTGAAACTTATATCGATATATTTTAAAAGAAATTTTAGAGTAAACGACACTGAAATATTGAAATAAAATACACACACATTTTTTTCTATATTAATGATCCTTTATTATAGGTTAGGTACTTAAATCGCTTCTTTAAAACACTTTAAAATAGCCTGGAGCGTAACGTCGTTCGACTGTCAATGATTCAATGACTATTAAGTCAACGATGACCACGTGGCACTGGTAATTTCATAAATTAGTGAATTAAGTTAACAAAAAATGAAGTAAATAAAATGGGACGTAAGAAGCATTGCATATTGCCACAAATTCTAGATAAGAGTAAAATACTTTTCCATAATCGTACGAGGGATTAACGTATATAAAAATGTAGCCAGATAATTTAACAATTTAGCTATTTAAGTCTTGTCTTACAACTAATCTTCCATTTAGTGTAAAATAGTAACTTAATATTTACCTTTCGTCGTTATTTTGTTAAGCATTTACGATCGAAATTGTCGTCTTCCCCCGGAAACCTCGGCCATTTTCTAAATATTTCCCATCGAATTTGTTTCCTTTCGTCACTCAGTTGTAAATATAAGACGGCAACTACTTTCGTCTTCTATCGACGACAGCCAATTTATCTGTAAAATCCGGTTCTCTCACGCGGAAAGGTCAGCAAACTTTGATTCTTTTATCGACTTAACCCGAGTTTATCGTATTTTTTAATGGCGGATGTAATTAAATTAAGTCAAAATTATAGGCCTAATACTCGTTCGATTTTACTGCGTTAATTTGAATAAAAGAATAAAAACAGTTAAGTGTAGCGTAAGAGCCAGTTAAATATCGCGCCACGTCCTTCTTATACGTATAAAAATACAGCGGAACCTCGCTTAACCAGCGTAATGCGAAACAATTTCCCCCGTACAATTCGATGTAAAATACGATAACGTGTCCAGGCCGAAAAAATACTCAAATATTGTACGTATAACGTTTATTCAAAGAAAATCCTACAATATACGCGGTTAAGGAGCGTGAACCGTCTTGGTCTTTTCTTCTAGCGCGGAACGAACCAACCTCCATTGGCAGAAAACAAAAATATTTCAGATAATACGTGTGATAAACGGGCCAAACCATATTCTAATTTCTTGGCCTATGTAAAGGCTATAATTAAATATTAGAAACGGATTCATTCGACCGGAGGCGGGCAGTTACGACGCCATCTCCTACTAAATTTAATAATTATAAATAATTCATTTTTAAGTAAAACATTTGTAAAATTTAATTTGGAATTTCTCATTAAATTTAATAGGAGATGGCGGCGTAACTGCCATCTCCTATGCTCTGGTCAAACGAATTCATAGCCTTTACATAGGCCAAGAATTTGGCATGTCTTTGGCCCGTTGATCATATAACGTTTATAAATAATATGTGCGATCACCGGCGACACTAAGATGCTAGCGGAACGAGTGCTAAACGCGCTCCCGGTCACTGGTTACGCCACGCGCTGGTAAAGCCAGGTTCCGCTCTACTGTTAAGTATATTTACTTATGTAGTAAAATTTATGTTATTAAATCGTAACGTTACAACTTGGAGGGGGAAGACGAATTTGAATTAGGGGGCCCCGTGTACAGTGTTTGGCTTCGGATATTTTTGGGGGAGTATTTTCCTATAAAAGATTGGTTTGGGGCCTCTTTTTTGCCCACGGGATTACGCGCCACTGTATTAAATTACTGTTATGTTTACTGTATTTCACCGAAAATCTAGTTTTTGTATACATCTATCGAATTGAAGTCATCGGCATCTCTCTCCTACAGTTAGAATAGAAAATTTAAATCGAGCGAGCGGTCATAAAACTAGATATAAGTTACTACACGCATTAATAATTAAATGCCTAATATACGCGATGGCGTACAAACTACTATAAAATAAACACAACATCCTGTACGTGTTATTCGTATTTGTATTATTTAAGAAATTATCTCTGGATAATCGATCGAACATGGCACAATTATAAAGATTACGCTAAAGAGAATTGACGAAAACGAATGGAATTAAGTTGAAGTTGGTGATTTATACACACGGTACGTAGGATGTATTTCATTACCGTATGTAATATATAACTTTATAGACGATCAAACTTCAATTTAGTGCCAGCATTTTTTCGCCTCCGAACTACTTCAAATGATAAGATTAACTTATATTAACGCGTAGTAACGAGGTGTACGCGCAATTTTGACAGACCGAAATCGTGCGATAGCGACGTGGTTTACGGTACAAAATCGTACATTTAATAATTGGCGGATACCGAGGAGTTTCCTATTTAATATTTCTGGGAAGATCCGTTCGGGAGTATTCCGTGGAGCGTTACGAGCGACACAATTGGGAGGGCGTTATAACGAGACTGGGTTGTATTATACAGTATTAACGTTGCCATATTACTCCGTGGTATTATACTTAATTAACGAGTACAGCCAGGTAAACTTTAGTTTAAAATATAATAATTAATACGTGAGCCGGTTACCGAGTAAAGCAAATTTAAGTAACGAAAAGCAATCCCTCCGCCCCTTAAAGTCTGCTTTTACGCGCATCTAATTCAAGAATTAAATTAGATTTGCGCAGAAACTGATTTTATAGAACAGAAGATGGTTATGAGGATTTATATAGGACATTAAGTTACTTTTGTACGCTGTTTTCCAAGTGTTTATACTCCGACGCCGTTCTATCGACGAGAATAATAAATGCCATTCTCATTGAAAGAAATATAGTTTTCTGTAGATAAATTTAAATGTTGAGAATATTTAAACAGTAAACATATTCTCGGTTTCTAATTGATACTCCGAAACTTGGAGCAAAATGTTCTAATTGCTTTGTGTAAAATTCAAACTCGAACTTCGTACAACCGATAATAAGAGAAATATGAGCTAGATCGGGTCATTCGGGATTGTTTTAAGCCGCGCATACCTGGAGGATGGAAGAAAAACTGACAGTTCTATCATCCACGTCGGGGCACGTGTACCAGACTTTACCTACAAAGGCCTAGCATATATTTTTTTGTTTTTAATTTTGTTATATCGTTATAATTCAACTATTTTTATATAACAAACGAATAATTATCGGTATCGTTCCAAGATACCATCTCGATTTCACTATTCTTTATTTAGTTATAATCCGTACCGAATTAAGTTGTCTTTTTTTATCATTTATTTTTAATTTACGGCTTAAAGATACATCAATTCTACTTTTTAAATAACGCGTATAATATTTTTGTTACCGCTGTTTCGATAGTTATATTATTGAATCGCGTGCGTAAGACAAATCAATTTTTAATGACGAATATCAAGTTATTTTTATGTTATTTTATTTTTATATTGGTTAAAGAAGTAATCGGAACAAGTAATTACTCCTTCGAGATAAAAGCGCGCTCCGTTTAAAATTAATTTAAAGTATATCAAACACACCTGGTTACCGAGATATTTTTGTTTATTACGACGAACCCACTCGAGGCGACATCTTCTGGTCATTCATGTTAATTTAACATTTACGACAGTTCTTTGAATTTAATTTCCGTAGTGATTCGATAAGAACAGTAGCAAACAAAATAATAAACAAAAATATCTCGGTAAGGAGGTGTGTTTGATGTACAGTAAAAAATCTGAGTATAGATTGTAGTTTATTAATTTAAAGACAAATAGCCGAAAATACAATTAAATTACATCGAGTGTAATAACTATTAAAGCCCAGATAGGCGATGGAAAGAAGAGATGGAGTTTACAAACATC